ATTCCAGAATGCAGTGGACGGACAACGAAGGAATGTTTAAATGATGCAGATCTGTGGAAAGGGGTGTTCCCGAGTTCTGCTGAGAGGCCATTGTACACCACGTAGCCATAATCAAGGTGGGGGAAGATGAGGGAAGATACTAGGAGTCTACGTGTGGGGAATGGTAGTAGATGGCGGAAGCGATGGAATAGTTTCAAGGTACCAATTGACCGTCGGGAAATGTGAGCAATACAAGTACTGCATATATTATTTGTAATTTTAAATTGGTACTGAATAAGTCAATACCAAAAGTATTTACAGAAAGTTAACTAACAGCTAATAAAAATTAGATGGATTTAGAAACTATTTCTTCAGATCTGCTATCAAAAGTAACTATCAAATATTATTTACTACAATCATTGTATTCCCAAATCATCTTTTTTCCAGTACGAGCTTGTTATGTTTTTAAATTGTAAATTGCTGCAGAATATTCTTCTTCTTCAATCGGCGCAACAAGCCATTACTAACTCTTGGCCTCCTCAAGCAGCTTGCATCAGTTTAATCAATTCAGTGCAGCTGCTCTCCAGTTCTGTACTCCGAGCAGGGTCCTTGTATCCTCTTCAACGTCATCCAACCATCGAAGCTTTGGGCGGCCTTTCGACCATGTTCTTTAGGCTCTCATTAATTAATTTATTTGGGATCTCATCAGTTCCCATCCAAATGTTTGGAGATCCCTTTCATTGAACTTCGAAAATGCTCAGGTTTCTGAGGCATAGGTTAGTACTGGAGGAATCAGCATCGTATATAATCTTATTTTTGTAGATCTTGATAATGGAGTTACTTCCTAAGTGCCGACGTGGTCCAAAATAATACCTATTGGCCAATGGTATTTGCCTCCTTATTTCTGCCGAAACGTCATTTCTGGTATTGACCTGAGATCCGAGATACACAAACGCCTCAACTCGTTCAAAAGAGTAGTCACCAATTTGGACAAAGCTTTCGTTATTACCTTATTGTTGACTAGTAAACATTATTTGGTTTTGTTAGTATTTACAAAAAATCCCAGCTTCATGGCAGCTTCGCCAAGGGCAAGAAAGATTTCTTCTACTACAGCTTTTGATTTCCCAATAATGTCAGTCTCATCAGCATATCTCAGGATTTGTACCGCATGATTAAAGATGGTTCCACTGGTCTTAACCTTTGATTCTCTGACAGCTTTTTCCAGACCAATATTAAAGAGTAGACCGGCTAGGGAATCTCCCTCTCGAACACCATTATGAGAGGTAAATTCCTCAGACAGATCTTCCTGAATCTGCACCATACAATCGCTATTGCTCATTATAAGTTTTACTAGCCGTATGAGCTCAATGATACATTGAGATCTTTCGTTCCTGATAGAGGGCCTCATGCTGAATGCTATCATAAGCAGATCTAAAATCAACAAATAGATGGTGTGTCTGAATCGGGTATTCCGTTCCGTGCTCTCGGATGGTTCGTAGGACAGAAATCTGATCTCTTGTTGACTTACATTTACGAAAGCCACACAGATATTTCCCCAGAACTCTCTCAACATGCAGTAGTAATCGTTGATACAGTATATTTGAGAAAATCTTGTAGGCACATAGGAGTAGAGATATGCCCCGATAATTACTGCAGAATATTAAATGTGGTAGGTCTAATTATTTAAATCACTAAATTGATAATTAAATTTTAAAATTTGTCCAGTTTTTGTAAATTCTAAGATTAGATCATGTTTTTGTGGCTTTTGTCCTTGAAAATTTTGAAATCATAAAAATAAATCAAACTGTTATTTTAATGGCCTTAAGTTTTTAGTGGTTTACTGCAAGGTTTAAGGTTTAGCTTCGTTAAAAATGCACTCCTAAATAAATGAATAAAAATAAGTTTAAACATATTGTGTCTGAGCTATTAAGTGCTTCTCTGAAAAGTTCTATTTTGTGTTATAGTGATGATTTTAGGTTTTTACATGCTTTTTATAAACTTTATCAAATTCTTCTGTTTTAATTTTTCAAAACTAAATAATTGGAGATATTTTCTCTCTAGTTCAAAGTTTTCTTAGTTTTTATTTATTTTTAGCTTGAGTCCTGATTTCAATATTGAATGACTATAGTTTCGTTAAGGTTTTCAATGTGTGCTTGATTGTCACTTACATTATGTATAATATTATTAGAAAACAATCAATATTCAAAATTATGAGCACAAAAAAATGTTTAGTCTCTCACACAAATACAAAGCTTTCCTATCTTCGGTAATGAGGAAGCAAAAATAATAATAAAAGAGATAATAAAGAGTTTCTTTTTATTTACTCTCACAGCTCTGGATTGCATTCCTGGGAATACTTTTCTCTTTTAATTAAATACCTTAAAAGATTAGTGTTTAGTAGTGTGGTATGAAAATTTAATATCTGTTTAATTGCAATGATCACTCATTAATTTATTCACAAACCACTATGTATGCATTTACAAGATCAACATCATGCACCAAGTTTCTTTTTCAAGAGTTATACAGAATTCCATCTACTGACTGTTCAAAATACATTGTTTCACAAATAACATAAAATGCACTTTCTATAAATTTCTGTTATATTTTAATATTCTTTAAATTATATTTTTCATGCATAAAGCTGTGTTTTTGAGACTAAATATTTGAGAAATTTAATCAAAACTTTTTCTTTCAATTTAATTAATTTGTTATTCAGATGAGATTTTTTTCTTTTCTGTCAGATTTTAATTTTTATTCAAATTAGATATTGAATCTTAGTTCATTCTTGTATATTTTTCAATGATGTAATGTCATCTTTTAGGAGAGATTTATTTTTTTACTGCTATGTGGAAGAGCTAATTGGTTAGAACGGGGGAAAAAAAAATCAAGAATACTTGCTTAGTGAAGATCTCATGAATGGTGTACAAGATAATCATTTCTTATTTTATTGTTTAAGTGTATTTGATGCAGAGTTCTAAATTAGTAGTAAATAAATTTTTACCATTGCCTGTTATTGTGCCCTCAGCTTGGGTCGCTTTTCTTTTAAATTAAATAACAATTGTTCTTGAATTATTGGGAGATTCCTTGTTGGTTTTCTTGCATGGGTGAGGTGCTTCAAACAATGTTAGTAATTAACATATTGACATCCATCTTAATGTGTTATATGTCTAATCAAGAATAAATTTTTCATGTCTTGGTGTAAAGTGCAAAAATAGCCATTGGTAATAAAAAAAGATCTCAAACTCTTATTTCAAATATTGGCTAGATGGAAACAGTATTTTGATGCCTCTTGAATAGCAACCATGAAGTTGAAGGATTGGTAGAAGGCACTGGAACCTTTATTCTAACTTAGACAGCAGATGATGAGCTTGAATCTCCCGATGACGATGAGATCACTGACTATCAAAAGGCTAAAAACAATAAGCACCAGGCCAAGATGACATACCAGCCGAGCTATTTAAGTATGGGGGATGGAGGAGGAGGTACCCTTAGGAAAGTGCTATATGAACTGATCCTATCTGTCTGGCTGGAAGAATCGCTGCCTGTATCCTGGCAGAGAACTATTATCTGCCCTATCCATGAAAAGGGCGAACAGCTGGACTGCAATAATTACAGAGCGATCTCTCTCCTCCCAACTATGTACATAATCTTTTCGCTTGTCTTGTTTCGGCATCTTCTCCCATTCACTGAGACAGTAATTGGTGATTACCAGTGTGATTTCTGCCAATGTAGATCCACGATGGACCAGATCTTCTCCCTCAAAATGATTCTCGAGAAAGGAACAGAGTATTCACTACCAACTCCTATTCATCGATTTTAAGGTGGCCTACAATAGCATTAACAAGGAACAACTCTAAAATGGATGAACTAAAGTTGTCTAAGAAACTAATCCGCTTAGTTTGAATCACAATGAACATGATGGAATTTGAAGTGAGAATCCAGACTGGGGTGTCAGAGGAGTTCTGTAGAAGAAAAGGGGTAAGGCAGAGAGACTTGTTGGCCTGTCTGCTATTCAATGCAGTACTTGAAAAAGTTGTCAGAGACGCACGAATACAGCTGGATGGTATACCATCTTTAACAAATCAATACAAATCCTGGCATACGCAGACAATATTGATATCATCGGGAGGTCACTTCGTGGTGTAAAGGAGGTTTTTCTGGCTCTCGAACAGTCAGATGGGACTGTCTATAAATGGGAGAAAAACCAATTATATGGTTGCTGGCATAAATGCACCATGTTCATTAGAATACAGCGTTTAAAATGGGTGGGTCATGTAGCCAGGATGGATGAGAGTAGCCCAGCTTGCAAAATTATGCTGACGCATCCAGAAAAAAAAAAGAGTTGGAAGACCTGAATTGCGCTGGATGGATGGCGTCGACATGGATGGTAGAGTTCTTCTTGGACTAGCTAACTGGAGGACAGCTGCAAGATAGAGAGACCAATGGATGAGACTAATTTAGGAGGCTAAGACTCAGCGATGAGTTGTAGCACCCATGAAGAAGAATAAAAAAAAATCCTAAACCATTTAATAGAGAGAGCAAGGAGGTAATATCCCTTTAATTATGTTCTATAATTGTCTAATCGCGTCTTTGAGCTTTCAATCTCATCTCAAATCAGGTAAGCCATTCGGTGTACGCAGTTTTTGGTTTTTTTTATTTTATGCCAAATGGCTATTTTTGTACTTCATATTTATAAGAAATAAAAATTAATTATTTAATTTCAAAATTATTACCTTTCACTATTGGATTCTGTATAATATTTGCAGACCCATTACTTTATTTTAGATTAATTTTTTTTACTATACAATCCCAAAAATGGATGAGGGAGGAAAGAATGCCTTCCTCCTCTCCTCCCATAACTCAGCTTAATCAGATAAGATGGCTGGTAGCCTAGCTTGCCAACCTTTTTTAATAAGTAGTATATGATGACCTGTTTTAATAATTTATAGTTGGTTTTTGTGATCCTTAATGTTATTAACTTATCAAGTTTTCTGACTTTTTTATTTATTTATTTTTTCCAGACGATGTACAGAAAACTCTTAGAATCAAATAATTCAAGAAAAGAACAGGATGCTGAAATCACTCTGAAGTTCTTAAAGTCTGCATTTTATTACTTTCTAACTGACAGAGAGAACACCAATGGCCATCTAGCTGCTATACAAAGTATTCTTGGCTTTACGCCAGACGAAAAGCTCGCTATAGAACGTGCTTCCTACGCCTGGAAATAGTTACCATTTGCTAAAATATTTTTATTATCTGGTCAAATTTTGTCATGATAATTGTCTTTATTATCATGTGCCTATAAATCCTATTTTTTTCAGGGTCCTGCTCATCTATGTGGGAAATATTATATTAATAGAATGATACTATACTTTTTAGCATATCTCTGTTTTAGTGTCTTTATATCAAAATAAATATTTTATATTTTAATCATTTATAATTATCGGTAATTAGTGCTTTATTTCTTGTATCTTGTAGATATTGAGTGTTAATGCAGTGTAATAATAGAAAAAAAATAGGTGCAAATATTTTGTTGAATGGTACAAATATCAATCAAACTTATATTTATATGAGATAAAGTTTAATTTTATTGGTTTCAGTCTATTTTAAGATGTTTATCAAAGAGTGAAGAGTTAGTGTCATAATAGGTTTTGTGATGATGGAACATTTGACTGAAATTTGTACTTGTTATAAATCTTTTATTGTCTCAAATAGTTTTTTACGGTTTTATAATATGTTTGTATTTCACAATCTTTTTTTTTTGTCTCCTAAAGCACGTTTATATTTATAGTTCCTAGATCAATAATTTTATGAATTTGGTGGTTGCTGTTAAGTTATATCAGTATTCACTATAATGTAACGTAGTGTATTAGTTAAAAATTTGTTGTTGTTACTATCTTATAGCCTGTTTTCATTGTTATTTATGTTATCATACTCTGGTATGATTGAAGTGCAATTGTTTTATCTTCTGTTTTATACATTACGAGTATTTTATATTTTTGAAATTTATATACTTGTTGGAATTTTTATTGTTAAAATTTTAGTATGGAGAACACACTTGTATTGTTTTGAAAAGAGATATCATATATACTGAAAGACTAATAATAAAAAAAATTAAATGAAATTGCTGTATTTATTTTTCTTATTGAAATATTTTGTAGTAGAAGTTGGTTGGGTATTTGGACAGAGATGGAACTACCGACGAAATAGAAAGTCTTATTTTATTAGGTGTCTACATTTTGATTTATTTTAGGCCTTCATGAGGGATTAAAAAAAACAAGATAATGAATTACCAATAAGAAAAACAGTATAACAATAATATAAGAAGATAAAAAATATATGATAAACCAGATGTTTTATTTTCTATTTTATTACACATTTTTTTAGCCTATTTAAGTTTTATTTAATTATTGTGTTATCTATAACTTTTTATATTGTATTTATTCTTTAGATTAATCATTATTTTATTTTAATTCTTCATTACTTCCGTTATATCAGTTTAGAGTCCATCATTATAATTGATATATATTGGATGGAAATTCAGACCAGCTAACAATGAGAACACTTGGTTTCAGTAAGGTAATGTTACTGTCCACTTCTTTCATGAGACAATGAACTTGTTGCAACAACTTCCTAACGTTTCATCTTAAAAATCAGTGATATGAGATAGTCACGCTGATCTCCTGCCTTTAGGAACCATCCATTTTCCTGTGGGTCTACTTGAAGGGGAAGGTCTCCCTCAACAAATAACAGACTTCAGAGGTACTCAAAAGCAACATTCAAGAGTATATTATGGAAATTACATCAGTCACACTTCAATAAATGATGTGGGCGGGGTGGCCGAATGGGCTAAAGCCTGTGCACAGCACCGCCATTGCCCGGCAACCCAACAAATGAATTTAATGATATAAAAATAGTCACGAGTTCGCGTCCCGGTGCCGAGGGAGTCTTTTAAATCCCAGCCCACACTCCCTGGCCCGGGAAAACCCCGTATAGCCTTAACGGGGAGGACAAAAAAAAAAAAAAAAACTTCAATAAGTGATGAAATTGCCTTCTAATTAGCCAATGTGTGCATCAATTCTAGTGGTGGGCACGTAACTGATATTTTCCATACCTAAAATAAATTAAAACAAATAAACTTTGATTTGCAATTTATTTCATTAGTTTTCATCATTTTGTTGCTTAGAGGAAAGATACTTTCGGCTAACTCAATAGTATAGTTAAGCAACTACCCTATTTCAGACATCATTGTGTGCCAAAGGTTCTCCAGAAGAGTTTCGTGGTGTTGGTACCAGTTTCATGGTGCAAATTGCACCATCAAAATTTTTGAGGGAGGCACAATTTTACTGGATTTTGAATTTTCGAAGAAGGCACATTTCATTTCGACATGATTATAATTTTGCGGAATGAAAAAGTTCAAAGTGGAAAATCATGGACCAGACCAGCGCAAGTGTATTTGTTTATGATCTACGATTTTCCTAATTCTGCTGTTTTTAAAAAGAGGGGAGCAAATAAATCTTGGGAGGGAAGGGGAATTTCAAGCGCCATCGATCTGTGGGTGGGCATTAAAGTACTCCTTTAAAGTACTCCTTTTATTCTGAAAACTTTGATGGTAAGTATTGTGTTACTGACATACGTGACTAAACTCTAAGAATTGGTGATAAATTCATGGTTCTCTATAAATCTGACAGACATGAGATTTTACCAATTTCAGATACCAATTCACTAGGAATTCCAAAAATCTATATGTATATTCAATATTTTATGATTTTTTTAAATAGTAAAGTGGATCGAAAATCAATGCCTCACAGCCATAAAAACTTAGTTAAGGAATATATCCTTACCACTTATCTTAAGTAATGGATGTGAAAATAACTACTTTTCAAGAACTAAAAAAAAAATTTGTTTTACTTTTTATTTCCCTGTGCCTTATAATCTTTTTTATCTCAAGGTCTTATAAAATATGTAGTACTAGATTTGTGTTTATAAGATTTTGTTTTTACAACAATACTTCTGGTATTGTACTGGAAATAATTAATTCTAGAAACTCGAATTTTCACCTTTTTTACCTAACAAGTATTGCAGATCATAGCCTGAACTTTCATCCATTCAAATGAAACTTTCAACATTGCCACCATTAATGTGAGTACCTTTATGCTCTTAGGTAACCCATATTTCAAAACAATGCCAGGATATTTAAGGGTTTTGCCCAATGATCCATGATTTTTAAGTTATCCAAGACATTGAATTGGAAACCACTTAGTTGATCTTTCATAGGCCCAGGCAGATAAAAGAAAGAAGGTGCAATATGTTACAACAAATCAGTGCTGCAAGGTGGATGAAGCACTAACTGGCCAGCCCACAGGCGGATTTACGGGGGGGGGGAAGCTTTCGGGCTGAAGCCCCCCAAAATGGTAAAATGTAACTATGTTTTATGGTAAAAAATTATGTCTTAAAGTATTATTGCTCGTTTAATTACATTTAATAGGGCTTCAAGAATCACTTAAACACCATTTCATATAGATAGTTAGTATCTTTCTGTTTTTCCAACGTAATTATCGTTATATATATGAAAAAAAAAAGCTTCTGGGCTGAAGCCCCCCCCAAAATTAAATCCTGGATCCACTAGTGGGCCAGCCCATTTCGGCCTCCTCTCTTTTCTCCAGTTTGAGGCAAACGTTATAATTTGTTTTCAAAATGATGTTAAATCATAGTTTCAATAATACACCAAATACTACCATACACACCAGTAAATACAAAGGATTTTCATACACTAACTGATTGCAGACTTTCTTCATTCATGAATCGACAGCATACCTTCAAAATTTCGTAAGTGTTCGTAAAATAATAGGAACTTATGATGTTTTTCTGGTATAATGGCCAAGGAGAAAAAGATCACTCTTCGCCAGAACGTAGAGCGCTCCCATATCAGCTTGGCTCTCAATGTCTCATAGGCAGTACAGGCAAATACAGAAGAACATATATTGCCATTCTGCATCGCCATGGAAGGATACAGTACCTGTTGAAGAGGAAAACCGAGATGTTCGCCCTCGTAGGCTGAAACTTTTCCCAAATGACCGATGAGGAAAATTACCCCTCTTTGAAAGAGTCCCATCTAAGAGTGCAGGTCTAACGAACTTTACTTTAGAATGGGGTCAAACATCCTACATTGACAAGGCATATGGAGAAGAGAGAAGTAGGACTGAGATTAGGATGGGCTGGACCAGACTGGTAACAGTGGTGCAAGAGTGGTAGAAAGGTACGTGGGCTTATCTGCTGAGGATAAAGTGGAGTCCCGTTTATAAGGTGAGCAACAGCGTACCAAGTGGCATCAAATATCACGATTAAAAAAAGTTCCACAGTTAAAAACTTTTCAGTATATATTACGATATAAGAAATTAAATAAATAGTTTGTTTATTATTAAATATAAATGAAATTTATTTCTTAAGCTGTTCTATATTATGCAGTGTTTGAATTTTATTTCATTCAATATTTCTCTCATACAGTGGCTTTGTTAATAGGCCTAAATGAATTATTTCAATAAGTTTCCTATTTTTTATGTAATTTATAACAAATGGTGAACGTTCCTGATGATCGGCGCTCCGGGGTGGTTGCCCCATCCTAAGCTCGGCACTGGTAATATGTACACATTGCATGTATTATGTACTTCTATTAGTTCTTTTTGTTAGAAAAAGCCAATTAGAGGACAAAAAGTGTAATGTTACTGGCCACAGCTATTGTTGCATCTTCTTGACGGAACAACCTTTCGAATAGTGAAGACGTTAATGATTAGTCGTTGTTTTAGACTGATAATAAGTTTTGATTTATTACAAAAACTTGTTTGGCTTTTGTATTAACAAACTATGCCTGATTCCCAATAAAAAATAATCTTGTATTAGTAACAACCAAGCATCTATCATTTCAAATAGTGAGAGCATAAGTAACTTTGACTATTAGGAATTGACCAATTCGTTAATTGTTTTAAATATATTTTTAAAAAGTTCACAAGAAAAATTCAAAAGAGACAAACAATATCATTAACTTAAGACAAAACGGCGCAAATACTTTATAATGTTGATCAATGCTACAAAGAGGAACAATTGTGATGAAAGTTACTACATTCAAGATTAACTAATTTAAGGAAATGTTAATGAAATTAACTTAAAATTTAGGCTTGGACCTAAAGAAAAAAATAAATATTTTAAAACAATTGTCTAAATATATATATATTTTTTTGTATTATTAATAGAAGTAGAAGAAGTGGAATTGATGTCCATGATTGTAGAGCAATCAAGTTAGCGTTGGTGCCTCCAAAGTTGTTCTTTCGTTAGTTGGCTACTAGAAGAATGGCCGTGGTAAGTGTTTAATTTATCCCGTTTTATCTAATAACATCTTGGTTACATCTGATATTTATTAATTTGTTTTTAGATACGACTATAATTTCCGTAAGAAATTTAATTTTAATGAGATATTCACTTATTCTCTACTTTGAAATTGGTTATGTTTATAACCTAAAACCCATGCCTTCTACGTGAAAATTTTTTAATGTTAAAACTTAAAGCAGAAGGTGAAACCAATTTTAACCTTTACTATTTGTTTTCAGCAAAACAAGAAAAAGGGTGCTGCTGCCCCTGAGAAAAAGAAATCCTTGAAAAAGGAACCTAAAGACAAGTCCAAAAATGTTATGAAAGAAGTAAGAATCCGAAAACTTTGCTTAAACATTTGTGTTGGAGAATCTGGTGATAGGCTTACAAGAGCTGCTAAGGTAAGATCGTTTATACCTTAAGATTACCTTTAAACAATTGTCTTCCATTTTACCTAATTGTTTTGTTCAACTAATCCTCATTATTATTTTACTCTATGGATACTTACAGCATTTATGTTCTATCATTGTAAATTATCAAATGTCTTGTATGACCCTTATTGTTTCATCATGTTTATTGTTCTTCTTGACAGAATTTGGCTACCTACATAATGCTTATAATGTTATATGTTTTTAATGATTTTGTTCAACATTCCTGACATGTTTATTTCTCTATTAAGAAGTAATTGAATTTTGAGATTGACTAGTGGTTAAATGATGAACATTTTATTTTATTATGTTTTGGCATAATGTTTATCCTTTATTTTTTATTACCTAATGATTCAATTTCATTCCTATTGAGATTGTTTATTAATAATGAAAACAGTCGAAAAATTTATGAGAGCAATATGCACTGAAATTTTTCTGAATTGTTAAATGGCTGTAGTTGTTAACTCCTTGTTAATAACTATAACTAGCTAATGTATACCTAAGATGGTTTTTAATTTTGATTTGTTATTATTTTAGGTGTTGGAACAGTTAACTGGGCAGCAACCTGTATTTTCTAAAGCAAGGTACACTGTAAGGTCTTTTGGAATCCGTAGGAATGAAAAAATTGCTGTTCACTGTACGGTCCGAGGAGCTAAAGCAGAGGAAATTTTGGAGCGAGGATTGAAGGTATGTTTTTTATCTCTATTGGTTAAAATTAAAGATATTGCGGTTTAATTGGTTAAACTGATCAGATTAAGTGTTCTACTATTCAAATTTCACTCCTCTCCTCAACTGATAGGAACCAGTGGTGGTTGCTCATCAACTATGAGTGAGCTGGCGTTTTAAACAGTGATGCAATCAGAGCTAATTAATGCTTTGATTTTAACTGAAAAAGGCAAGTAAGGAGTTTGCCTCAGTTATTAATAGTGATCTAAATAAAGAGAGGTTATACTGAGAACCCATTGTCAATCCTTGGAATCAGATTTATACACTGATCATAAAATCATGGCTCACTGGATAAGGTGAGTTGTATTTGTACTATGGTATCTGTAATGCTAATGGTGGGAGTGGGGTAACGTTCGGCAAGTGAGCCATCGTGGTCCTTTTTGCCAACCTCTGACAGCTACATTGAGGTTGCCGCCGCATTCTGACCAGAGTGGGAATGTGATGATCCATTTTCCGGAGTCATCGAGAAATGAAAAGTAACCAACCCAGGTAGGAATCGAACTTAAAATTTTCAGAACCAGACACTCTGGGATCCACAACCCAACGTGATCGGTCATCCCGTCCTCTTTTGTACCATGGTACTACAATTAGTTATACTTGAATTTTTTAATTAATGGCTGGACCAATACTGTAAACTTTATATCTGGTTTCAATTTTTATCCTCTTTTATATTCTATATTTTAAAGTTTGTCCTTTTTTTTGTTTACACTTCTTTACTTTACATCATGCACTTATTTATGATTTGGTCTCACCTCTAGATTATCAATTGTGATTGATAACAATAAAGTACAAATTTATGATAGGATTAGTTTTTGTAGCTTGGCCAGTTATTATTAGGAACTGTAGAACCCATGAAGTATAAAAGGCACCATAAGAATGTGTAAAACTTAGTTTTTGTTTAGTTTATATATACCTTTGGTTTAAAAAAAAGCTTATTTTTATGGTTGTGTTAGAGTTACAACCTCTAAATTAAAGTTGAATATAACAAACGTGTAATAATAAAACTTCTAGTGGAATATAACAAACGTGTAATAATAAAACTTCTAGTGCTAGCATCATCAACAAGCAATATAGAAGGAGATCTATTTACAACGTTATGTACAGTTCTTAATAGAGTTGATCAAGCTTCATTGCAAAAAACAATAATAACAGTGGTTTTAGGAAGATTTTGAATATCATTATATCTCTTTGAAACCAGATGTCCTACTTTCAGCCATATGTGCCACTTTTTAGCAATGAGTCCCCAGGATAAACATTCATTGATGTTGCTTTGAATGCTTAACTGAAACCTAGATTATCTGTTCTCTGATTCACCATCTTTCCTCAACTGTCATGCTTATTAAAAAATAAATTTTTCAATTATTATTGAATGCATAAATTCCCAATAGTTAATTAGCAAAGATATCACCACTTCTCTTAAATTTGAGTGTCAAGTCCAGTTCCTCTTTTTTTTTCCCCTCCTCGCTTTTTCATCTGTACAGGGTTTCCTTGGATCAGGGAAGAGAGTAGAGTTAAAAGCTCCCAGCACTAGGATTTGAACTCATAATTTTCGGTTTAGCAGGTTACCCGAACAATGTGTTTTGTACACTTGTTAGCTCATTCAACCACCCTGCTCTCTAAGTTTTATTTTCAGTTATATATCTAATAATTAACCCTAAGACTTATAATGTTTAATCTCAAAGATCGCTGACTGGGAATTTTTTTTTCCATCGCTCTTATCTTTGACTTCTCAGGATATTGTAGTGTCCTGCTTCAGAATATAAAATATCTGGTCATGTTAAGTGTAATATGAGAAATCAAACATTCTGATTCAATAATGATCTATGACTATTCCAAATCTAGATGTTGGAAAAGTAATAATTTAAGATAATTATACATTAATTATCTGAACATGTGCATTTTGAGTAAAGTTAGTGCTCCTTAATCACAGGTGTATGTTCCATGTGACACAAATACAAAAAAGAAATTTATATGTGGTTCCAAGTTTACAATATCAAAAGCAATTTAATAAGATTTTTATTATATGGCGTAAGTCAATGGTTTATGGATTTTAGTCATTTTTTCTTGTTTAACACATCGAAGCTCTAGCATTTCTATTTTTACCTGTGGCTAAATGACCATTTTCTTTTATTGGAGTGTTTTTCTTTGATTTTACTTGATCTAATTAATGGTGAAAAAAATTGAGTTATCCAGAATTCTTTTATATATGCCAAGTAGAAACAATCCAACATTTAAAGGGTATTACTATGAGCTTGTTTTACTTAAGAAGTAAATTTAGTAGAAAGTTGCTTGTTTATACTTGCCTTATGTGAATTAGCTTTTTATAATTTTCTTGGCTAATACAAATATGTTAATATTACCATTTTTATTTTTTTTTTTTTCATTAATTATTGGTTTTCCTTGTATAGGTTAGGGAATATGAACTTCGAAGGGATAATTTCTCTGACACTGGCAATTTCGGATTCGGTATTCAGGAACATATCGACTTGGGAATCAAATACGATCCAAGCATTGGTATCTATGGTTTGGACTTCTATGTTGTTCTTGGACGGCCAGGTAATTAATTGCTGGTACATTATATAGTCACCATGTTAAACTAACGAATGTGATAATAGACACTTCTAAAGGTACTATTTCGCTGGTACTTATGTTATACCTCTGCAGCGACTGCTGGTGGTTGAGCACTGCTTTAGTGGAATAGAAAGGAACCTATTTCGTTCGCGCTGCTCGGCAGTCTAGGTATGATGTCATATCTAGGCTGCTCATATCTTAACGCTTCTGAAGCAGTGGAGCTGTTTGCTACGTGGAGGTTATAGGTTATGTTATATCAGAAGCATTGTTTTGATGATAACATGCACCTTGAAACGTTTTCTTTCCTTTTTTTTTTTTTTTTCATCAAGTCAGGCAAAATTAAATGAAGTATTGTTTAAAATTTAAACTAAGCTACGATAAATCATTACAGGTATTGTTTAAAATTTAAACTAAGCTACGATAAATCATTACAGGTTGAAGTACCAAGATTATTTATTTATTCCACACAAGTTTTCTACTAATTCAAAATATATTTAATTAAATAATACTAAACAATTTTAACTATAGGGGTAAATATTCAAATCCATACATTGAAAAATCAATTTGTATTCTTTAATTAAAGTGCTGATTTACTGATTGCTTATTGATAAAATGGTAAAATATTGCCTGCTGTGATTATCATTACAAATATATTATATTTATTACTAATCGATGATGTAATAATTACTGTTACTTATTGAACTAATAATTAGTAATAAATTTAAATTCGGACATAAATCCTCAGTTCTTAAAATAATACTTTATCATCTTAGTAATACCATGAGTACTTACAGTTTATATTCAAAATATTACAAGAAACAATAATTTTGATGAAGGTAGGAATTAATATGTGGATAATTGATAACATTTCATTGTACAGGCATAACCTAACCTTGTTATTCAACTTTAACTTCTAGAAAAAATGGCAAGTCTTAATTAAATAAGACCGAAACTCAACCATCAAATCTATTTCTATTCTTCCGATGCAAATAAAAACCATTAAATTTAAGGATAACATTTTTATTTAAAATCATATCAAACTAGGACGCTAAATTGATTAGATTTGGCTGCGTGAAATAGCGGTCGTTGCCATGGGCAATACCATCGAAATAGTACCTTTAGGAGACCAGGAAACTTTTTCACATTCAACTTTTAATGTACCCATTGGAAATATTTTTATTATCTGTAGGTACTTTACCTTCCTTAAGTCCTTAATTTATTTTCATATATACAAAAATATTTTTGAATTTACAATTTTAATTTTTTTAAATACAAATTTTAATTTACAAAAATACTTTTGTTAAATTATGAAAGTAAAAGATAAAAATGTTCACATTCATTTGTTTAATGTGGTAGTGGCTCTACTTTCATGTAGCTAATAAATAAATAATAAATTTTAGTTGGTCATTATTCTAGTTAGTACAAATTATTTTGCCTACTTGGTATTAAGTGGAATTAATTAAAATTTTGCTTAAAGTAATGCATAACTTTTCTATTTTCGTAATTTTGATGAAGACAGTTTTTAAACTATAAATAAAAATGTTGTTAATTTAATTGTTTTTCATTATGAGGTTTTTAAATTAAATTATTGCTTTTTTTTTCTCAGAAAATAAATAACAGTTTCACCTTTTGATTAATAATTGAATCTTTGTACGTTTCAGGTTTCAATGTTGCTCACAGGCGAAGGAAGACTGGTGTAGTTGGTTTCCAACATAGGTTAACAAAGGAAGACGCGATGAAGTGGTTCCAACAGAAGGTATTTTTAAAAATTAAAATAAATGGTATATTTCTTATAGTGGTAATAATACTTTTATTAATTGAAATTTTTATTTTGTTTCAGTATGATGGAATCATCTTACCTGGAAAGAAGTAATTTTAAACTTCATAATAAACAGTTTTTATTAATAGGTTTTGTTTGTTTTTATTAACCCACCTATCCTATACCACCTTTGGAAGTTTTTTAAGTAAAAGTAACGTATTACTATTTATTAGGTGAGACTACTTGGTTAGGAATAAATCATGATTTGTAATTTTTGATTCTCAAAACCACTATTCCAGATCAGAAATACTTTAATTCAATTATGTCTGATTTACAAGCTTATGGTATTTTTTGGTGTTACTGTTAGCATTATGCTTGCATTTAGCTTCCTTTAAAGTACCTTCAATTTTTTTTTTTTTTAATCAACTTACCATTTCACTTTAATTTCTAATATGAAAAATAGTCAAATATAAAATATGAAAGAATCTGTTTATTAACTGAAGAAGAAATAAGAGATGGAATAAGAATAACGGAGAATAATAATTATAATTGAGGAACCAAGGAAGACAAGTGCACCCAAGTTTGCCCGAAAGATTAGAACATGCTTCCATACGTATCATGAGATTAATATAATACTAAATAAGGCTTTCATAAATGCTATTGTTGATATTATTTAATAGTATAGATTACAGCGATATAAATATTAAAATTTTGTATATATGAGGGTACTTATACAAATAAAAATACCCACAATGAAATATAAATAAATATTGAGTCTAATACTTTTCTTCGCTTTGTCTGAAATTAAGAAGTGGTAAGTAAAAGTTGTGTAATGTGTGCACCAGATTTTTTTAATTGTGTTGGATTGGAGAATTTCTCAAGCGATGGTCCATATAACACCATAGGTAATAAAAGATTTAATGAAGTAACGTATTAGTTGAATAGGGAGCCAACCGAACCACACAGAGCTTGCCCTGCCGCAGCTCACCAATTCCACAACTGACAATTTATTCTCAGCTGAGTCCAATTACTCTAAGGAATGCAACCATACTCCACCTCTTGGGATCGCACACAACCTGCATCAAATCCTCATCTTTCCGCTCTCTAACTCATCCTATCTCCTTTATTTATAATATAATATACAATATTTGCAGTTACTCCTTTCCACAGTTACAGAAATTTTCTTATTCCCATCTTTTTTTTTTTTCAATACCTTTTTATTTTATGGTCGTGTATTACTTGCTGTAAACATATTCCGAGAGAGATAGTGCAGTGTTTGAAAAGTAGTGTCAATTGCTTGGCAGATTTGAAAATTAGCATATCTGGTTTAGACTTCAGAGTTACACATGTTTTCTCCATCAAGTTGTTCCATTACAGTGTCAATCACCAAATATTCACTGGGCTTGGGAGATGAAGAGACACAAATTACAGTTTGGCAAATTTTACTCGAATAATGAATAAATAAAAATTAATTTGTTGATTATCGCTGGAAAATAAACTGTCTAGCTAGCACTATTTTATACATAGCCAAATAAAAAATATTTATTTAGTAGAAATAAATTTATTGTGCAATTTCACAATTATAATTCAGTTTTTCATTTCTTAAAATATTATCGATTTTAAGATAATTACAATCACGTTTCAAACAAAAAAAAAAATTGACATAATTACATTTAAAGAGGCTAAAACTTTACAAGGCCTATGAGGCAAAAAACCTCACTGCTTAGAAGTCAGGCTCAGACCCTTCAGAAAATATCTCTGACCTTGATATATCTTTCTCCAGAATAGATGAAGATGAAAATGGTCCTCCCTTGTTCCATAAAGATAATAGAATAAGAAGTACCCATTTTTATTTAGGAGATGTGTCTTATTATTTATAATTACTTTATGTTTTAAGTAAATATTCTTGTACATATTTTAAGAACCGTTTTCGATCAGATTGTCATCTAATTTTCCTTATTTACAATAGAATATTATAGAAAAAAAGTTCCCAATGAAAGGGGTTTAGAAACATTGTAAATCTCTATCCATAAATTTTCTGTAGAACATTAGGAAGGTTTATAACCAACTTTTCAAAATATTGTACTTAATACTTCCACCAACACTATTTTACCAACTATTAATGTAAGGTAACAATTTAGAGATAGTATGGACTCAGGAAAAGGCGTCAGATCATGGATGAAATATAACCACAGGATGAAGGAAAAGCGCCAACATAGGATTTGTACCTGGTGTTAGGAGGCCACGTTACCTAATTAACATTTGTTGTCAATAGATATCGATAACAAATTAAAGAAATAGTTCAATTCCAAGCCTATAACACAATATCTTTGTGCTAGCTAATACTTTAATAACACATTGTGTCTGTAATTAAAATTAATTTAATTATAAGATAAAAAATAATCAGGATATGCAGTCATTTATGTTGTTGATTAAACATTCCAACCTTCAACCCAAGTATGTGGGTCATCAGGGTTAAAAATGGTAGATAAATAAGAGAAGATAAAAGATGGAACATACGCCTGAGATAATGGTAATATAAAAATAAAAATACAACATAAAAATGTTTTTGTTTTATAAATAAATGTGTAAACAGCAATGTGTGGTTGGTTTGATGTAAGCTGCAAATTCAATTGCTAACTCCAATGAGCATAGCTTGAGCAGCAGATTCGGTGGTAATTGGACTTATTAGCTTTGAAATGGTTAATATTTGTACTAAATAAATACTCAATCTTACTAAGGTAATGAAAAATAAATATGCAATTAATTTATGAACTATACATTTATTTACATGGCATAATTAAATATTCCTAATAAAATTACTATTTTATTTACAGTTTTTAAATTCACCCAAATATTTACCAACACTAAAAGAACAATTTATCTTCTTGGTCAATTATATAGGTTTTTAATTCCTTATATTCAGATAAAAATGTTCCATTACACCACCATATAAAATAAATCACCCAATAACATTGACTAAGCTACAGCCTTCGTTTAAAAATAGTTCAAAATGTTGAGATCAGTTTCTAGATGTGCACTTGTAAAATTTATATTTTCAGAGAATAATGCAAGTAATGAGTCAGACTTCAAGGATAGCTCTTCAACAAATTAGTTTTTATGTACCTGACCTAAAAAAAAAAAAGAAAAAGGAAAAAAAAAAGAAAGAAAGAGAAACCAAGAAACGGTGATTAATTGAAAATATTTATATATGTATATAGCAAAAAACACTGCCAATTATCACACAATGGTTTATTATTTCCAAACAATTTAACATAAAAAGGGATTCGTAACATTGGCCTATATAATTTTCTTTTTTATCATTGACAATTATCTTAAGACAAAAGATAACATTGCCACAGTTGCTGTAAAACTTCACTAAAAAATCAAAAACCAAAAGATAAAAGCTTTGCAGTAGAACATATAAACCATATTTAGAACACCATATCTTTGCTCCAAATTGTCCAATTTCAACGATTTTTTTTTTTTTGGTTTTTAGTAAAATTTGTAAACTTTTAAATAACCATAAAAATAATAAATCAAAAATATTTAAAAACCACGCTATTTTTACTAATAATGCTCTGATTTTGATGATTTTTTTTTTTGTTTTTTAGGAAACTTAAATACCTTTGAAACACCTGATTATTAAAACTACAAAAAAGTGCATACTTCTTGAGTTATTCGGAAATCTAATTTTACCGTCCATCGTAACTTTTTTTTCCAGCTTTTTTTCGTTAAAGTAAGTTATATAAACAAATTGAAAGGACGTGGAGGAGACTTTAGCCAAGTTTCATTGAAATTGGTACATTCGTTTAGGCGCTACAGTATATACCAACACATCGGCTTGGAAGGAAAGGGCGGATAGTAATGTCGAGGTAGGAGGATCATCCTTGGGCGACCTCTGACTGATTCCAAATTTGATTTAAAAAAATATGCATGGAGCATATTGTCAATCATATTAGGGCCGTCAAAAATGATAAGTATGGACTGAATGAGTTTATGATTGACAATGAATTTTATTTTTGAAATCATAACTTTACTGTTTGCACAGATTAAAATATCTGTGATTGGATGTTATTAGTCTTTAAATAGTAAAAAATGCATATAAATGTTCATGCATCAGCCCATGAAGGGTTTACAGCACAAGAACTGGTAGCTAGAGCCTTTTGATTATTTGCTGGTCCCTATCTTCTGTATCTAGATATTCTTAAGTAGGCTTAATAAAAGGATATAATAAGTAGGCTTATGTACTAGGGTACACACTAGTAGACACTGTTGAGTGATTTGTCTAGAGACACGATCGGGAGACTTTAGGCCTGTGATTTTAGATATCGCAACAGGCCTGTAGACGTGGGTCGGTCTATAGACATGTCAATGTAGACAAACTGAGACATGTCTCAGAGACAAAAATCGCCCAACATGTCTGCTAATGTGGACTTGGCTTTAGGAAAACATAGTCAAAAACGTATGAACAAGTGATTTAAATTGTAATTTATAATATTGGGCATCAAGAGAAAAACGGAGATATAATAATTACTTCCTAGTGACTGAAAATCGTTTAGACCAAAGTTAGAAAAATATAAGTCAACTACATACAAAAATTTAGGAAAAGTATTGCGAAAATAATCAATTTGTTAAGAAAATTGGAAAAATTAATGACAAATAAACACAACAGTTAAAGATTTTTTTTCTATAAGTAAATTTTGAAGTTTCCACTTTTTTTTCTCTTCAATTTATTGCCTACTTGACTATTTAAAGAAAAAATACTTGAAAATGGTTAATAATAATATAGACTAGGGATATAAACAACTATTTACTTTTATGAAATTATTTACTTAATAAGGAGACCTAGGTAAACTAACCTATCTAGTAGTAAGGTTAGTCTCAAAGAAAATCGTTTTGACAAAAGTTAGTAAAATATAAGGCAACTAATTACAAAAATTAAGGAAAGGTATTGTGAAAATAATAAATTTTTTGAGGAAAATGGGAAAAGAACTGATAAATATACACAACGTTAAAGTTTTTTTTTTTCTTAAAGTAAATTGTGAAGTTTCCACATTTTTTTTTTAATTTGTTGCCCACTTGAATATTTAAAAGAAATAGTTGAAGATGGTTAAAAATTATAAACAAGGGATATGAAAAATTATTTAACTATTTACATATAATGAAAATCAGAAATGGTTATGATAATGGTTCTGAGGCCTAGACAACCTAACCTATCTAGTAGTATGGTTAGTCTCCCCACTACTTTTACCTCAGTCCCCCCTCCACTTCTCTTGAATGAACCTTTGATTTCCGGATGTTCGGAAATCCGCAGCACACCACCATCAGTACTTCGGTATATAATTTAGGATTGAATATGCCCAGTAAACACCTGACCCAATAATACTGAATAACTACATTCAACAACATGGAAGCAAATCCCATTTTACCACAGTTAAAAGTTTCTTAGTCAGTCAGGATTTAAGATAACTAAGGTGTTTCAGCATATGAATGCTATACTCACTAGGCTAGCTCACCCCTCCAACAAAAAAAAAAATTATATTAAATATGATTAATGTTAATATTTTTAAAAAATCCAATGTTACCTCAGCATTATTCAAAAATGTAGTGTATTTAACACTAAAAACCAATTATGGAAAGCTCAGGTGTAACCTTCGTTCAAGGATCTTGCTAGTTCTTCTCTGAAATAATCAATCGTCTTCATCAATCCTTCTTCAAGGGGCACCTTAAAATGAATCAATAATCATCAATCTTGACTATAAATAATTATCTAAAAAAAAGTTTCAAGTATAAAAAATTCTATTATTCTCCTGAACAGCAAGTTTTATTTTATTGATCAATCCTTTAAATGACAGTAGAAATTTTTAATTGTTAAACAATTAAAGATAAATTTGTCTTATACTTCAGTAATTAAATAAAGACAACAAACTGGTGTCTAACTTTTTCTAATGTCATAATGTATGGAAAATCAATATATATATGAATACATATCGTCTAGAAAATAGTATGAAACACATCCACACAGAAAGGGTTGGTTGGCCCTTGGATAGGATCAATAAGTGATAAGGAAGTAAGTGTTTCTTAAGTGTGGTATAGTCTCCACTAATATCACTCTCAATCTTGGATTACCTTCCAACCTTAAGACTATGTCATTAGTATTTACAGGCTAGTCTGATCGTTGATCCACAATAAAATTTCTTTTATGACGGACCAACATGGCCTCAGGGAATTTAAGAATCTAGTGCCTTGACCACTGCATCAACTTTCTTTAAAATATAATATTTTTCTAATAATTAAACAATATATATATATATATATATATATATATATATATTGTTCATTCTCTATTTATTTAAAAACTAAAGCAGTAGGACTATGCTACAGAAAACATTATTTCAATAACTAATTAGAATGATACCGATAAACAAACCTTTGGTTCCCACTTCAATGTTTTTCTGGCTATTGTTATGTCTGGCTTTCTTCTCTGTGGATCATCTTCTACTGCTTCTGTGCTTCCAATAGGGTTGTTTCTTCCTACTAGTTTTTTTATATAAACTGCAAATTCTAAATTAAAGTAACATAAATATAAATCCAAAATGAATTTCCATGTTGAGAGAAGTGGCAAAGACATTAATTCATACTATATTAAATAATTTTACTAGAGTTTATCAGATAATTTTACCCATTATGGAGTATTCAACCGGATTACCCAAGTTCACTGGATGGGTATAATTAGAAGCCATTAAAGCCACCAACCCATCAATCAGATCAGTAACATATTGGAAAGATCGTGTTTGATTTCCATGTCCATAAACCTGCAACCATTATGCATAAGTAAAAGTGATTATCAGTCAGATTAGAAACTCAATGTAAATGAGCTACTTTAAATGAAACGTAATTATATTTTTAAGAGAATGTGATTTTTAAATAAAAAATAACAATACTTTCCCTTACTATATACATACATATATGTACATTCTATTATTTTTTAAATAAAATTATAAATGTTTTAATAAAGGATTTTCTGAATAAATGCATATAATTGGACTCTGAAGAATTCCAACTTCTCAATAAAGATAAAAAAAAAAAACTTGAAAATTGAATTTTCATCATAATGATATTTTTTTTAAACATTACGAGCAAGTGGTAAACTATCAACTAATAAACATTAACAATTAATTATTATATGAAATTTGGCAATAATAAAATGACCTAAAATCAAAGTGTTATAATTAAGCAGGCTCTACGACATACCTTATAGTTATTTTATCAAGAAAAATATTTCTTCAGGAAAATCATTTTCACCCATTACACTGGGTATTATAGTCCTGTTATTACTATTATTTATTTACCCGATCGACAAGCATCTTAAGCTACCATCTCTCAAATGTCTTTTCTTATTCATTGTAGTCAACAGCAAGGCTGCTGGATATTTCGACCATCCTGAAGTCCTCAGCCATTGAGTCTTTCTACCTTCTCTTCGGTATTTCACACTGTCTGACTCCATCAGGGTTTTCATAATATAATTGTATGGTTGCTCTATCATCACCCATTCTGATTAAATGTTCCAGCCATTAGAAAAATAGGAGGCTCGGAGATCATCGTATAAGTCATTGATCTCTTTGTTCCTTCTCAAGCAGTACAAACCATTTTCCCTTACAGATCCCACGATGCACCTCAACACTTTTCTCTCAAACCTGTCAATATTCTGAGCCATGATCTTGAGTAGGGTCCAGGTTACAAAGGCATAGGTTAACATGGTCGTATGATTTTGGTAGCTCAACATAACAGTTTACCACGGAAGAAACTACTAAGGACAAAATATGCTTTATTAGCCCTCGTAATACGAATTTGAATTTCCTCCTCTTCCTCCATTTGATCATTTACTATGGAGCTAAGATACTTAAAACTAGGCACGCATGGGAACATATATTTACCCAGTAAATGATGCTTTGATATAGGTATAGGTGTTTTCTTCCTGAGCATCATTATTTTCATTATTTCTTCATTTATAGTTAAACCAATTCTTTCTGTTTCTTATTCTAACCTTTTGCAGACCTCCTTTATAGACTTGAGGGACAACCCAACAAGAGACACATCATTAGCAAAACCAAGCACTTTCGTCACTTTAATAAAGATTATACCAGACTGATTAAACTCGACTTTATTTATAAATAGTAGTAGCGAAAGGGGGTGACTCTGTCTAACTCATGACTTCACTGCAAAAGGTTGGTCCAGCTTCCCATTAATTTTCACTCGAATTATACTCTCTCTTCCACATAGAGCTCCTTTCTGATGAAGGAATCATATCAATATTACTAATTTAAAAAAAAAACCGCACAGCTTTTAGGAGAAAAAAATATATAAAAGTAACAGTAAGAATAAGATCCACCATCATGTTGTGTCAAAAAATAAATGAAATAAAAATTATATTATTGTCAAAATTATTGATAATTAGATCAAACAGATAAATATATCTAATGGGACAACAATAACCGTACACATTTAGTATTAATACCTTTAAAAAAATAGTAACAATGAGAAATTTAAAGAACGTTTTTCAAAATAAATATTTGGATACTTGAATGAAAAAAAAGTTATGCAAATTTGAACTGCAATAGAATTCAAGTGATAAAGAACGTATATAAGATTGAGATTGCACTTTTTAAATAATACAAAAAGACTCATAGCTAAAAAATTGAAATAATAGTGCGTCGTGGAGAGGTGGTAGAGACTGGGAGTGTGATCAGATTCCACCGTAGCATGTTGCCATACACAGTATTCTTAAACCTCTCTTTGTTCGAATATTTATTGATAAAAGCTAACAAATAAATTTTAGAATAAATATTTTTATTCAGAAATGATAGATAGAAAAAATTAAAAGATATGTCTTCAGTGGAAGTTTCAAAGTTGGAAACATTAGTTTAAGTTAAAAAAAAAAACGTTATCTCACTGAAGTTAGGCTCTAGCAGTTTAGAACTTTTTGTGTTTTTATTGTTATAACCTAATCTTTACCAACGCATAAAATTAAAAAATTCATACCCAATTGAGTTAGTTCTAAACTAAAATTAAATCTAAATGTAATTTAAAGAGTTCAATACCGTTATTGTCTTATTTCTAAGAGCTTGTAAAATGAAGTTAGAGACCACTCTTCCATCATCCATATGCATTCTTGGACCATATGTATTGAAAATACGAGCTATCCTTACTGCTACATGATAGTGTTTGGCATATGCAAAAGCTAATGATTCAGAGACTCTCTTACCTTCATCATAACAGGAACGTGGCCCTAAATAACATCAGAGAAATACTTACAATAAGTTTTTTTTATTATTTATCTATTGAAATTTACAATTATACTAGTAAAAAGAAAAGGACATGTGAAAATGATAAAGAAAATATCCATTAGAAGCACTCAAATTAGAGTTTTATATTAGAAGGTATCGAGGCTATTTTCTTTGCACATGCCTAGGCGGGTTGTTAACAATTGAAGAGGATGCAATGTTAGAAACAAGAGGGTTTGGATGCATTTGAAGTTTAGTTATGAAAGGATAGGTATCTGAATTGGAAGGATACTGTAGGGCAGGAAGTCATAGGTTTATAGACATGCAATAGTAAATATGATTTTTCACAATTTGTAAAATAAAAAAACATATATTTGAAGACAAAGCTTCATACACATAATATCGTCGTTTAATTGTAAAAAGTCACTAAATGCATTTTTGAAATAGATTAACTTTCAAATATTTTGACTTTATTTATAGATACAAAAACATGAAGGGCACGGAAATGACACGACCCTTTTACATATCAAATATAGTTACAATAAGCACACAATTTTCCGATTTCACAAAGAGAAAATTTTTCAAAGTTTTAAGTTTATGAAATGTCACTTATTAACTTTTCGCAATGAACTGATGATAAATTCACAAATAAAAAATATTTTAAAACAATACTTCTAATGATGAATGTGTGTAAAATGAAATATAAAAACCTAATGTGATCTAAAAATAATTTATAAAAACATTACCTATTGGATTTACATGACCCCAATAAGACTCAGGCTGTGGATGAATTTCAGGATCTCCATATACTTCTGAAGTACTAGCAATAAGTATTTTAGCTCCAACTCGTTTAGCCAAAGCTAAATTAAAAAGGGAAATTTAATATATGCTAAACATCACACATAAAATCACCTTGTAATCACAGGAAAAATTACCAAGCATATTAATGGTTCCAATGGTATTGGTCTTAATTGTTTTGACAGGATTATACATATAGTGCGGTGGAGAAGCAGGTGAAGCAAGATGATATATTTCATCAACCTCGATATAAAGGGGGTTTACGATGTCTTGGTGAATTATTTCAAAATTTTCATGTCCAACCCAATGGTCTACATTTCTCTTACTGCCAGTGAAAAAATTATCCACAACTATTACTTCATGTCCTTGCATTATTAATCTATCAACTAAATGTGATCCAACAAAACCAGCACCACCAGTCACCTAAAAATGGATAATGTTCAGAAAAAAAATATATAGAGAAAATAACAGAAACAAATAATTGAAAACTATGGTACAAATTCCCAAGAAACAAATAAATTTTTTGGGGAAGGAGAAAAGAAGAATATTATTTTTTTTAAATATAAAAATCTTAAGACTTAATTACTAACTACAGCTGATAGTAACTAAAAAGCAAACACTTTTATTTACTTACAAATACAGTGCAAGTACTCTAAGAACATATAAAAAACAGAACAAGATGAAATCTATTTAAACGATTGAGCAGCACAGCTGAGTTTACTGCTAATGCCAACAAATAGTGTCATGGATGATGAATTTCCTACATTTATAGGTTAAAATTTCATACTAATTATAGCTTCTACCAGACTGATTAAGTGTAATTTATTCAAACAGACATTACTTATTAGAATTACTTTTATATCTACATTTTAATCAACCTCTCGGCTCACATAGTTGAATCAGTAATTTCGATATATATATATATATATATATATAAATTGACATTACATAATATAAAGTGTAATTATTTTCAAATAAAATAATCTTATTAATTTAATAATTATAATCAATATATACCAACTGTAACTCAGAACTATTTATTAATTTTACCATAAACTAATGTTTGAGAGAACTGGAAGCATTATTCCAGATGTCCTCTGAATCATTCCTAAAAATCAAACATAATTAAAAAAGCTTAGTTATTTTAGTTACACTAGTTATTGTGTACCTCAAAAACATTTCTTCCGAAATTATAGCAATGCACGAAATAAATTAAATTTTGTCTAAAACATATTGAAGGAAATGCAAGCTATTTAATCACAGCAGTATTTAAATAAAATGCTTAGGATTATCTAAAAAATGAAATTAAAACTTAAATATCTCAAGTATAAGGTACACCTACCAAAATTCGCTTCTTAGCACGATAACTCAGGAATTTGACATGAGGATAAGGCTTAGGAAGTTTTGCTTCCAGACTTTTAACTTTTTGTTCTAAAAGATAGATTCTACTCTTAGCATCTATAAGCTCTTTTTTATCAATTTTCCACCTCAAATAGGCTTTTGAAATGTCATCATTTTTTGGTTCAGAACCATCAACAGGGGCTTTTATTTCTTTAATAACAGGTTTTTGTGAAATTTCCTTTCCTCGAAATTCTCCATTGGCAAGAAAAACTATTGCTGTTGAAAATAAAAAATATATATATATATATATATTTAAAAAATAAAATTCTGCTTTCTTTAAAATATTAAACAATAAAAAATTACCGATTAAAAGTAGGGAAAAACATAATAGTTGTAAAACGACTCTAAGTCTCCATATTAAAACCATCTTAAAAAAATAATAAAGAAGTAACAAAATTATGTCAACAATGAACTATCAAATTCTCCTTTCTATTTCTGTTGTGACACATTAATTTGCATTTACTAATTGAGGCCCTGTTTATAAATGGATATTTGAAGCTTAAGTTGTCCATTTTTAAATCATTTACACAATAAAAAACATGGAATGTGTTTTTGACATTACATCATCAACAATCCATATTAGTATGGGGGTTGTAAAAAATAGGCTTATTTACGCATCAAATTGTAAAACAAAATTTAGTCGTAATTAGAATCATGTTAAGTGTTTACTTAAACAACAAACAATTCCAAGTGTCACCAGATTAAACTGACATAAACCAACATTAATTAGAGCCTCAAAGGTTATGGGTATGTAAGGTTGCAGGGTTGTTGCAAAGACGTGGAAGAGCGACAAACCAATGAAAATTAAACTTCATCCAATATTATAAAGGGTGAAATAGAACCAAAAGAATTGAGTAGGCTCATATCAGAGGCGGACATCTGCCACCAAATTCGAAATTGAGTTATTGTTGATTCTTATACAATCTTTTTTTCGCTGTTAAATGGTGAGATCAATTGATATCAATAAAAAATTAACCTCTAGCACGAAAAGTATATTAAGCATAGCTTTAAAGTTAACAGCTTTTTTAAAAAACGGACAATTGAAGTATAAGTTTTATTCAAAAGTGGACATTTACCAAAATGCCAATGGAATAATAGGATTCTCATCACGATTTTCAATCTTAAGCAGTGGTTGTCTGTTATTTCCTGAAAGGAAACAACATCAAAAGACGTGTTCATTAAACCGAAATGGAAAGTGAGTTCCTTAAATTTAAGTTTAAAAAGGAAAGTTATAAGAGCTCCCTGTTGATACTTTTCCAAATGAATGGTGCCTAATGACGATATGAAAAGAGTATATCTCAGTCCAGCAACATAAGATACTGATAAAAAATATTAACAGGAGAAACCCAACTATATTTTAAACTTTCCAAATGCAAACGAGTAATTTTTCGGAAAATTAAGTAAGGAATGTAGTTGTGAAATGATATCAGGCTTACAACGTGATAGTAAAGCAGGGAGGACAATCTGTAACCCAATTGCAGACCTCAGCTGATCAACCCAAAGGAAATACCCTCAAGTGTCCCACACAAAAAATAAAATCTTTGAAACGTTAAAATGTTATTTGAAAGTAATTTGGAAAAAATGGAAAATAAACACCGGATAGTGGGGAAGGTGGCCGAACGGACTGACGTGAGAGCACAGCACCGCCGTTGCCTGGCAATCTGATATGGGAGACAATCACTAGCGGATCCAGGATTTAATTTTGGGGTGAGGGTTCAACCCGAAAGATTTTTTTTTTCATATATTCAACATTAATTAATTTTTTTTTAATTTCTTAATGACATTTACAACTGAATTACATAAATACATCTAGTAAATTTGAACATAATAGATATAATGACATGAATACACTTGCTGAGTAACTACCCAATGGTAGCACTCTAATGATATGACTACATTAGGAGATCACGGGGCCATCTTCTTTTCAGACGCCTCGGAGGGTTATCAGGAATTGAAGAGGAAGCAAGGTTAGAAACGAGAGAGTTGAGATGATTCTGAAGTTTATTATGGAAGGATACGTATCTGGATTAGGCCAGATCTGAAACATAAGGAACATTAAGATCTTTATGGATAATTTTATTAGTGACAAAGTCAGGAGCATTGAGGATTTTACGAAGGATTTTGGATTGTAAGGATTGGATGCGAGAGGAATTCGATGGATTAGTGGAGCCCCATAGCTCAACTCCGTAAGTCCAAATAGGTCTTATTATAGTCAAGTATATGAGTCTTTTGTAATTAATGGGAAGTTTAGAGCGTTTGTCTAGTAAGTGCTGAAGTAATCGGAAACGTCGAGCGGTTTCTTGTCGTTTCAGTCTAGTATGAGGATTCCAAGTTAGTCGCTTGTCCAGATGGAGTCCTAGGTATCGGATTTGCTCAACAGGGATAAGTGGAGTATTATTAAAGGAAACTGTAGGACAGGCAGTCGTTGGTTTACGACGAAGGGTAAAGGTAATTTGATGGGATTTATTGGAATTTATTTTAATTCTCCAGTTTTGACACCATTCTTTAAGATTTATGATGTGTGATTGAAGCATTTGGGATGCAATTGATGGATCATTATTTACTGATAGGATACATGTGTCATCGGTGGTGACAGTGTTGGGATAGGTAGGGATGTCAGCTCTATAAACTGTATAGAGGATAGGACCTAGGATACTACCTTGAGGAACACCAGCGGACTGGGAAAAAAGGGATGAATAGACATTTTTGTGATTTACTTTAAAATATCTATCAGTAAGGTAGGAAGGGATAATGAGAAAGTATGTAGGTGGTAGGAATTTTCGGAGTTTGTACAGCAGTCCCAGGTGCCAAACTCTATCAAACGCCTGTTCAACGTCGAGAAAGACTCCCGTACAGTACATTCCGCGCTCCAATGCAGAGGAGACTACGTCTACCACACGATGACATTGCTGTATAGTGGAATGGGAAGTTCGGCAACCAAATTGGTGATCTGGAATTATGTGTTTAGAATTTAGGATAGAGTACAGGCGTTTTAAGATGAGTTTTTCTAGGATTTTGCCCATGATGGGTAAAAGAGAGATAGGACGGTAAGAGGATGGGTATTCTGGTGGTTTTTTGGGTTTGTGGATCATTTTAACAATAGATCGTTTCCAAAGATCAGGAAAATATGTAGAACGGAGTACAGCATTACATATGTAAGTAAGGAATAGGATGGCTTTTCGAGGAAGAAGTTTTAGGATCTGGGATGTAATTAGGTCATGTCCAGGAGCTTTACGGGAGGGTAATTTTTTAATGATGTTGGATATTTCTATAGGATGAAATGCTTTGGGTGGCAGAGACATTTGGAGAGAAATATCCAGTTCTGCTTCAATACAATTGATGTGAGTTGAATTAAGGGTATCGGGATGTGGGTTAAAAGTTTGGAAGAGATGTTGACCAAATAGTTGCGCTTTTTCTCGTCGGATTTGGACCAGGTTTGGGAATCAGTAAGTAGAGGGTGATTGAAGTCTTGAAACTTATGAAGTTTTTTGGTGGTTATCCATAGTGATTTGTCAGTGGTTGTAAGTTTTTCAGTAAAATTTAGTAAAATTTGAATTTTGTATTTTCTAATTTCTGATTTCAGTTTGTTAGTCAGTTGGGTGTAATGCGATTTATCTGTTGGGTATCTAGTCCTATGCCACTTCGATCTTGCTCTGCGTTTTTCCTTTAATAAGATACGAATATGCTGTGGCCAGTTAGTATTTTGTGGGTAGTTAATCTTATTGATAAAGGTGTTATTATTTATACTGTCTGTTATTGATGATGTCAGTTTTTCTATGGCACCATTAATGTCTTCTTTTGTCTTTAGCGGAATTTTGAGGTCTAGTTTGTTTTCCAAATCATCACGAAATTTGTCCCAGTTTACTCGTTCAGTGATCAGTTTAGGAAGTGATGGTTTAGGAGCAAAGTCAGAATGTAGTGAAAGCAGAACTGTACTATGGTCTGAAGAAAGGTCATCCAAGGATTTGATTATAGTTTGGGAGGAGGAAATCTGGGAGGTGATAAATATGTCCAGGATATCGGGACGTTTTTTGAGGGATGTTGGAAAATAAGTAGGATTCATGGGCGAGAGGATGGAATAATTGTTGGAAGAAGAAACTCGTGAAAGGGTATTACCACGGGAGTTGGATGATCGACAACCACATCGTTGGTTTTTAGTATTGTAGTCTCCTCCAGCAATAAAGCGCGATCCGAGGGATTGTAATAAGGATTCAAGTAGGCTATACGAGAGGGAATTGCATTAATTAATTTGAAAAAAAAAATAAAGAAATTAACTACCTATATGAAATGGTGTTTAAGTGATTCTTGAAGTCCTATTAAATGTAATTACACGAACAATGATACTTTGAGAGATAGTTTTTAATATTTTTTTCTATAAAACATGGTTATATTTTACCGTTTTTTTGGGGGGGGGGGAGAGGGAGGAGAGCTTCAGCCCGAAAGCTCCCCTTCCCACCCCTCTCTGTGGATTCGCCTGTGGAGACAATTGATATAAAATAGTAACGAGTTCGCTTCCCAGTGCCGGGAGAGTCTTTTAAATCCCACAGTTTTCTAAACAATGTCATTGCCTTGATTAGGGTGGATTTTAAATACGTTTTTCAAACTTAAAAAAATATTTTAAAAGTTTACATGAAGTTAGTAAATTTCATTTAATTTCCTTGAAAACATGTGATTTACTTAAATATTACTTGTTACTATAGAAGCTTATTCTGAACTTTCGGCCAAGCTCGGTAGTAGTGGGGTTTCTACGCTTTTCTATTGGCATCCCTTATTTCTCCTTTAGTTAATTATCAAATTCTTTCGTATTTATATTTGACCATTTTTAATTTAGTAGATTACAATGTGAGATGGTTAATTATTTCAAATAAAAAATTAAAGGTATTTCATAGGAAGAAATTTTACATTTATACATTTAAGCCCTTTTAGAAAAGATCAATGAGAATAAGACCTATATTGTATTAACAATTAGATACCCTAATTATAACAATTCTGTTATCAAGTACTTTTGCAGATACACTCCAGAAGGTCTGAGAAGATCCTCTCTCAAAGACCTGGGTGAAAGTTTTACAAGAGTAGGGAAAAATGAAGCGGGCAATGTGTTGATCCAGGTAGACTGGAAAGCAGGAGACACCCTGAAGTCATGAAATGCATTCTAGAGGGTGTAATAGGATCAGAGGTTGAATTAAGGACTTGAAGAGAAGAACCACTGATTGAAATCAGACACCTGGAATTAATTAATGGAATTACTGCCCTTACAACTAAAGAGGAAGTTGCTGATGCACTTTCACCACCTTGCTAGATGATGAAAACATCCAGACCAGTGCAGAGAGATCGATCCGCACGACGTATGCTGCAACACAGACCACAGAAATTGATCTGCTGGCAGGAAGTCAATCACTAAAGGAAAAGTCAGAGTTAAACTGGTAGTCAGTCAAATCCGACAACGGCGCTGCTTTTGCTGTTGGGACTTAGGGCATATCACCAGAGGCTGCCAGGGATGTGACTAAACAAAAGTGTGTGCAATTGTGGTAGAGAGGAGCAGTTGGCTACTGACTGTTGCAAGAGCCCTAGTAGTTTATTGTGCTCTGGTAGGGGCAAAAACGGCCACAATAGCGTGGCAAATGCCCAGCATTGCAAAATGCTCTGCAAAAACAACAAAGGAGAGCCAGAACTCACATAACATATGCTGCTACAGCTACAATTTGGACATTTGGCCCGTATCCTATAAAGAAAATGGACTAGCCACAGGAAGTGGGTTTGTTTGGGCAAGAATAAAGAACATATACCTGTATAGCTGCTATGCTCCACTGCACATTACAGTTAAGGAATTCTCATATTTCCTGGATCACACAGTTGAAGATGCAAAAAGAAGGCTTTTTGTGATTGCTGGAGACTTCAATACGTAGGCGACAGAATGAGGTAGTCAATTGACTGAGTGACGAGGAGAAATCCTGCTAGAAGCCTCTGCCAAGTTGGAAGACTTAGTACTGGCAAATAGAAAAAGGAGACAGATGTCCAATAATTGATTTGTCATTTGTTAGTTACACCCATTGCCCAACTACCTATTGGTAGAGCTGCAATTTATAAACCCACAGACTATACTTACAACTCTGGGGGACTTGGCAACACAAAGATTAATGGTATGATAAGTATATATTAATGGTTTGGAGATAATTGACCACGATTCAAATTTAAGAAAATGGTTGGGGGTGCGTTTAGTAGATATACTATATATAATAGTTATATTTTATTGCATTTGCCAATGTTTTAACCTACATTGTAGGTTTTCATCAGGGCATTTCATCTAGCTCTGTTGGAGACTGTGATAATAAAATGCACTGATAAGGTTGAAACGTTGACGAATGCAATAAAAAACTACCGTAATATAGAGCATATCAATTGATCGCATCCCCAACCTCTTCCTCTTAAAAATAAAATTAATCATTTTAATTTTACAAACCAAACCAGAAGCTAATGTGGATTATAAGGATAACAAATGGAAAACATAAGTCATCTTTCAGTTCTTTATTAAATACCATATATATAAATGTTTATAATATAAATCAAACTACATAAATCAATACAAAATATTTCATGGGCAGTTTACATGGCAGTATTTCGGTAACTCTAAAAAAAAGTTATGCACAAAGGCATGGCTATAATGTTCCCTGATTTGTTTTCAACATTTTGTGCATACATGTATAAACATCTGAGGACACATGCCAAAACAAATGGTGTAAACATTAAAATATATATTAATACATACATGTTGTTACTGAATATATATGTCCTACATTAATGCAATTGAAGTTTTGTTACATATTATACATATGATGACAAGAAAAATTAAGAGATAAAAATTAACAATATTATTTGTCCTTTAGTAAGAATAATAAAATAATATATTCATTTAGCTTTTGTACCAGGGATGGACTTAGTTTTTTTTTTTATCTTATTCAAAACCTATTTCTATTCAACAAATAAATTATTACTACTTAAATGTTAATTAAAATATATTTAATAGAAAAAATGTGAGGAATATAATTTTAGACAAAAGCTAATTTTTCAAATGGATTGTAAATAAAATTAATAAATTAAGTTTCACCATTCATATTAATATATAATATATATATATTATTTGGACATGTTAAACAAAAATAAAGAATCAAAAACAGTTATTGCATTGATAATTAATAAAGTATAAGTACTTCTAAGATTGTTAAAAATTATCCTATTTATAGATTAATAATTATCATGATTTGAATAAAATCTATACATCATTTGCAATGTTTTAAAATAATTTCCTCATTGAAAAAATATAAAGATAATACAAAAAAAGGACTTTTCAGAGCCTCATAAAATTATTAATAAACTAAAAACATTTATAAACAAACAATAAAAAAAACTTAACAAACTTAAAAATATATCACTAAGTCCCTGTACTTATAGCTTTATAAATCAATAAGAAAAATCTTATATGATTTTCAATCAACATAAAGTACAAACTTTATTTACCATCAATCATAGACACTGTTGCTTTTCAAGCGCAACAACGATATTAATGGTCTGCAAATAAAAAAAATAATTATTTAAAATAACAGAAAGACATTAAATGAAAAGGAATGTTGTAGTTTTTAATGTAACGTTCTTTATATAATTTAACTTATAACTGTACATTTGAACAATGATAGATGGACATAACAAAAGTAATGAAGAACCAATTTTAACACTATGTTTACAGAGAAAATCATCAGTGGCGGCCTCAGACATTTGGTACCCTCGGGCAAGATGTCATCTACCCTCCTCTACAAAAATTAAATTTATTTCTTAAGCTGTTTTATATTATGCGGTATTTGAATATTATTTCATTCAATATTTTTCTAATTCAGTTGCTTTATTGATAGGCTAAAATTAATATTTGTAATACGTTTTGTATTGTTTTTAATTTCTAACAAGTGGTGACCGCTCTTCATCATCGGGGCCCCGGTTACCCCACCCTAAGGCCGGCACTGAAGAAAATCATATACATTTTTTCTTCCTAAAACCTGTCATATTGACCCACCATATTGTGTGTCAATAGACAATTAAATTAATTATTAAAACATACATTTTACAAATCAACAAAATAAACAATACATAATAATAATAAAAATAGATAAGTTAAACAGGAGTTTTAACTGATTTTATACCATTTTTTCAAACATACTTTGGGGTTTTTATGATCTTTCTATGTAGAAATTTAATTCTGAAACATAGTTATTGATACAATTTCAGTAAATACTTAGAAAAAAATAGGTTTCATATAAATCAGAAAATTAAGGATTGATTGTTTAACCATGTATTGAAAAATCTATATTTATTTTAAAGATTGTCATAACTTTGAAGACTGAACATAAAAAAAAAAAAATGTAGTTTCATTTATTTTTTCTAGCATAAATTATAAAAAGTGCAGACAATTATAATTGAAAATTCAACTGATAATTGAAATTAGATGATAAATATTATTATGTAATTAAATTAAGGATTATGCATTTGGAAACAAACAGATGATTGACAAAGAAACTGATGCAATCAAAACTAGCCTTGCTTCTGAATCAATATGTTAATATGTTTGAATGATTAATATGATTTAATGATTGTTATTAATATTCAAGTGCTAACTAGATTGGGTTCTCTCGAAATATCCTCATAATACTGTTCTCCTACTACAGTTACACAACACTGACACGCTCTAAACACTAACAATTCATATAAAAATGCCATATATTATCAAATGACTAGATCTAGATCTATAGAATACTATATTTTGTACTATGCTCCCTTCAGGCCAATACAAGTATATGGACGGAATAAAGGCACATTGTGCTGGAGGTATTTATTTCTCTCTTTACCCTTGAAAACAAAAAGCAGGTATGTAAGTTAGTTTAGAAACAATACCTGTGAAGGAATATATAATTTAAATTGAATATATAATGTACCAAGGATCGATCGCATTGAGACAAACTCCTTAATGAGAAATACATCTAAGCTATTGTCATAGAAACTAAATAAACAGAGAAAATGATGAATATAATAAAAAAGGGTATCAGTCATATTTGTATTCCTTATTTAGAAATACAATTTTTATGAGTTATGCAGTTTTGAATCTATCTATCTATCTCAGTTAGCTAGCAACACTATCACGATTTATTAAAATAGAACTGATATTTATAATAATAAACGATTGACGATTTATTAGCCAACTGTTAATACACATAGACATAATCATGTGTATGGACGGACAGAAGAAAAATTGGTTAAATTTATTTTTTAGTAAATCATGCAGGTTGTAATAAGTTATGAGTTCATCAAATTAGATTGTAAACATTGCTTAATTGAATTCTCAAACAAAAGCAAATTAAGGAAGAATATCAAAAAATTAAGAAGCGAAATACAGAATATAAAATTGAACTTAATGTTTATATATATATATAAAATATTTGAAATGTAATTAACTTACTTATCAATGAAATTCAACAATTTTTTTATAACTAAAAAAATAATACTGAAATAAAAATCATATTAAAGAGCAAACCAAGAAAAAAATTTAACATTTTTCTAAACATGAGATAACTATTATTATAATAAATGTGTGAAGTTTAAAAAGTAGTTGCTTGTTTGAAAATAATTACAGGAGTTCTATCACATCTTTAATTAGTTAAAAAGTCAAATATTTACAAGAAGCAGAATAATAAATGTGAGTTTAGTTACCTATGTACTTTAAATTTAATCCGAAATCTTTGTGAGATAGTAAACCGATACCCTTTCTACATGAAGTGATTCATATAATATTACAAAATGGGGTAGACAAATATTTTGTGTGAAAGTGTATGAGCATATACACATAGATATGAATGCACAATATACATCATACATTATAACTAATATAATTCAGTTACATTAAACAGTACAATAACTATAATTAATTAAAGGAATAATTGGAGGATGTCATCGACAGAATCAGCCTTTCAACATTTATCAGTTACAACTTTAAATCTAAAAATAAAATGCAAGGAGCACAACCGATCAAGTTTAGCTGTTCCAAAGGGAGCTTGCTACATTGGAAGTTCTTTAAATATTTCATTAGCTTCCGGGATAACATCTAAACTTGTACAGTTTATCATAAATTTAACAAACAACTTAACATTTAACAATAGTGTTCCCATTTTTCAATAGTTATCTCATTTAAGATGAGTTTTATTTAGATTTATTATGAAAATTTGTGTAGTAAAAAAAGTTAATATACATCAGAAAGAGAATGAACTTAAATTATAAATTTGACAATACAATCACATTTAAGGCATTCATAACTGAATGAAACACCCAATCCTTTAGTTCATTATGGAATACAAAAGTTATACAATTTTTTTAATAATTTTGTAAACATTTTTTTTATATAAAACAGGATTGAATTCCATATTTCTCTAACTAATAAAAAAAAGTCATTAAAAAATTATCTAAATCTCTAAGTTCCGTATCAAGTTGTTAAAATATCAAGAGAAGTGATGTTTTGTTCACCACGTCATGGGACGAACAATATGGAATTATTATACTTATTTTCGCTGTGGTGGGGGTAATGCAAGAGGAGCTATACTTGCATCCAGGCGCCTGGCCTCTTTCTCTAATAAATACGGATCGACTGATGGATCCTGGGATACATTTCTGAGTGAACTACCCAATACTCGGTGAAGCTGTTGGACTTCTCGCCCTGCTCTAGAGGTTTTCATAACAAATAACTGTCTTCTTTTCACCTCCTCATTCAACTGTTCTTTTAAGAATCGAATCTGAAACACAGAACAATATTGTAACTAAAATACCAGAAAACTAACATTTTTTTTTAATAATAGCTTTGTGCTATATCTGAGCTTCCAATGGTAAATGTCCCAGGTTCGAACCTCGGCTCATGGCAGAAAATTTATTTATCTGTTTCATTGGCAGTGGGGCTACCCTGGGTCGGGAGACCTTCCTGGGGCACACCCAGCCTCTATAAAGTGGGTACTCTTAATTAAATAATTGATTAAGGGAGAAAACCTAGCAGTTGAGCGTGATCTCGGTCAAATCACCTCCTTGCCGTTGACCTAGAAACAGTGCTTTTCCTAAATAGTACTGAACCCAAGACCCTTCATGGGTTGTAGTGGTACAGGTTTTCTTTTTTTGGGCTATATACATTTCACCATTTCTTAATTTTTACCACCATTTTCAAGACATCTGTAAAAACTTAATTAACTACGAGTTTCTTAAAAAAATCAATGTTTAACATAATGTGATAGTGATGTTAATCATCATTTAAATTTAACTATTGAATAAATCTTATCCCAAATAGGATTGTGTCAATAAGTTAAATTACATATTAAGTTTTTTTTTAAATTGAATAAGAATATTATAAAAATTATAGGTCTTAAGGTAAAGTCAGTTAAATCCTTAGTGAATTTTAATTTTCTTACTTAAAATAATGATACTTGTTATGTTATGTCTATGTTATATATAACATGTTAAATATTGTATCCATAATCAGATTATTACCTCTGTGAGAATGTGTAGTTGGAAGGTTATATTTTTATTTATTTCATATACTATTAAAGATATTGTTAAATTAAAATTCCAATTTTTTGATAGTATTTCCATATGTAGTGTTTAACCCACCGGTACCTGCTTGAAAATTGCATACTGTTTCAAATTCAGGTTGAAACATTTGTAAAAAATTCTATTTTAACAGTTTCTGTGAAACTTTTTAGGACAATATTTCTGATAATAAGTTTTAAGGAACTTTTTTTATAATAAAGTTTCAGATTTATGGTAGATGTTTATCTTTTATTTGTTTAAGTTCTTAAAAAAGGTTCCGCTGAATGAAAAATAAACAGCAATTCAGCTTAGATTAGAGTTATAATTTGTCTTACATGAATTACACATGATCTTAATGTGTAATTGGATTTGAGTAACAATGAATACAAGTAATTTTTTAGATCTTTTTAGCAAAATTGACAGAACTTTTAAATAAAAGTTTTTTAAAACCTTTACTTGCAAAATTGCAAGGAAAAAAATTCTAGTTCCAAAAGAACTGGCAAACTAATGACAATAAAAATTCCAATGATACCAACATTTTTTAAAATAAATGTTTTTTTCTGTTTCAAGTCCTGGTTTCTAGCTTTTTAGTGATATAAATTGATTCCAGAAATGGTGAAATACTAAAGCTTTTATTATGAATCTTTTTTTCTTCTATCTTCAAAGTTCTTAGCTTAATATATCTTGAGCCAATAGATAACAAAAAGCAATTTGAATAATTTATGTATGTAATTTTGAAGAATTATTTTACATTTCAACTAAATTTTCATGAATTGATATAGTCATTTGCCAATATCTAAGGGTAAAATTAAGACAAAATATAGTTTAAAAACTGAAAAAAAAAAAATAGGACAAATTTATAATCACCTGATTTTCAAGCCTGAGGACTTGTTGTCGATGAGATGATTCTCTTGCTTCCAATAATCTCTCTGCTTGCTGCTTCGCAGTCTTATACCTGTCTGCTTCACTACTCCAATCTTTTGTAGGCCTTAAAAAATCACTTTTATAAATAATACTAGTGGAAGATAATATAAGATTTAACATAGATGTTTTTGATATTTTAAGAGCCAATTGGTAAAGTTGATAACCAACATTTTTGGAAATAATTATTGCTATGTTTAAAGGTTTTAGTAATATATTTTTAATATTTAAGTATTTAACATACGTAGTTTTATGAAAATGTTATGCTTATTTGTAAATTTTATTAAGATATTTAATTCAATTATAATTACAGACTTTTTTTCAAAGTAATTTTGATTTCACAAGATTATTTATTTAGAGCTATGAATTCTAAAATACATTTTTGAATCTAAAATGCTTCACTCATACTTCTATGATTCCTAAACAAAATACTTAATTAATCAGATCTCTTTTGGTACATAGAGGTAGTAAGTACATTAAAATAAGGAAAAACAGACATTGCACACATTTTTTTTTTCTCCAAATTTAAACACTTATATTTATGATTAAACCATCGAAAATCACATTAGCTTACTTTAAAAAGTCTATCTATGTCAAAATGTTAAACTTTGAATCTAATTTTATAAAAATTCGAAACATGCTATTTATCACGTTTATCTACTTAGTCCTTCAATTGTAATCTACATGTACATGTATGTAGAGATTCATCATAAATTAGTCCAAACATCTAAAATATTTCAGAAAAAAATACAAAAAGAAAATAATGGTAACAAAGAAAAAATTAAATACCTTTCAAATTCCAAATTTCTAAGTCTCTGTAGTTCAGATTCTTTTTCAAGAAGTTCATTTTCTAATCTCCTAATTTTCGTTTTGAGTTCCAAGTTTTCTTGTTCTAAAAGATGCTGAGTGGACCCAAGCAAACTTTCCTCTCCCCATTCTCTAGAGCTTATCTTATCACCTCTCTCATAAGATTTGCTACGACTAGAGTGAAGCTTTCGTTCAAGCGTTCGTTTGTCTCCTTCAAGTTGTCGAATCTATAAAAAAAAAAATGGTGAAACCAATAAATGTTAGTTAGCTGTGTGTGTGTGTAATAAATCTAGTTTTTAATATCAAACATAAATATTTTTAAAATCACCAATATTTTATTTAAAAAAGAATAAATAAGTAATAATAAGAAAAAGATCCCATAAAATTTTTTCAATGCAAGATAGAAGATTTTTTTTATAGTTATATGAATAGCCTTTCAGGATAAACTTCAGTCAGCTGGTATTAATTTTCACTAAGAGAAAAAAATAGGCTTAGATATAAAATTTAATTTAAAAGTTTACATTTCCTTCATTAATGAATGAAAAATGTGAGGAGTACCCTTTTGCTTATAAAGCAAACTAAAGCATTCAGTTATACTAACCCTATCTTGCAATGTTTCAAGTTTCATAGTTAGTTCTGCAACCTGCCTCCTGGATTCTTCTTTCTCCTCACTTGGCCACTGAGCTAACCTTACCTGGGATTCCAGAGCAGAGCGATCCACTTCACATGATGCTAATTCAGACTGAAGTCTAGAATGTGCATCCTTTAACACCTAAAAAGACAATATTGAATCAAGGATTGTGTGATTAAATCAACAGTTAAAACATTTTTTTTTAACCTGATTTTATTTCAAATATTACGATCTGTGACAATTAACTAACCTGTAAACTTCTTCTTGCTTCGGAAAGTGCAGCTTGTGATGCTTCTAATCTTTCTGAAGTGATTCTCTTTTCATTTTCAGCATTATAAACAGCTTTCTGAAGGTTTTTCAGTTTATCTGCATTGGCATGTGAGCTAGCTGACACTTCAACAAGAGATCTTTGTAATGAATCAATCTCACTTTGCAACTCTCTTTCTATATCAGCCGATTTTTCTAAAGAAATAGTTAATTGTTCTATTGTAGCTTTAAGGGATCCGCAGCGCTCTTCAAGTTCTGCTACTGTACTGTTTTCAACTTCCAATCTCTCTTGTAATTTCTGAAAATAAATATAAATTATTTTCATAATCAGGTATTTTAGTAGAGAAAAATAATTCTTCCTAGTATGGAATAACTCAGAACAAGGTTATAGTCCTAAGAAATAAATTTCTACATTTTTAGATTTAGATTGTTAGATAAAACCTTATTCAATATTCAACTTGGTTTATCAATTTCTGAGTATACTAACTTTGTTAGGGGTAGTTGTTCTAATATAAGTTTATTTCATACTAACTACAACAGATAAAATTTTGTTTACCTGAATAGTAGATTCCTTTTCCTGTAACATAATCTGTAACCTTTGAATGTCCCCTTCCATACCCAAACGCTGCAGTTCTAGTTTTGTTGCCCTGCCTTCTGTTTTATTCAATTCTTCTTGTAGACTTTTTTTCTCAGAATCACATCTCGATAGAGATTGTTTCATCTTTTCGAGTTTTTCTTCATACTGAGTTTTTTCTTCATTTGCAGTTTTTAGAGCTATTTCGAGAATGTTTAATTTCTCTTGTACTTGATGAATTTCACCAGATGCTCGATGACTGGCTTCTGATTGTGCCTTAAAACAGAAATATTCTAATTTACATCTTGCATGAGATGGCTATTTGGCGTGGTACACAATTTTTATGTACACATTTATTTTAAAAATTGTGAAAATACTGAATAATTTACAAAAGAAAACCTAGTGGTTATCACTACTGAAGATGGTTTTACACTTGGAAACATTGTAAGGAATTATTAAATAGCAATGAAATTGTGACCAAACTTATTTGGACATCAGGAACATATTTCAGGAAAGTAAAGAAGACAATTGAGAGCATAACCATGACTTTAAAAATCTTTGATGTTTTGAAACAAACAAGAAACAATGAAGCACATCCCCATTGTTATCAGTCAATATGTTTAAGCAAAAGGCAACATCTATTTATATCAACAGGATCGAAAGTTACATCTCCCAGGTTCATTTCTTCAGAATGAAGTAAGTCTTAATTCTTTTGAGTTAACAAATATGCAGCTGGGAATTGCAAAACTTATTATTATTAAACAAACAAAAAATTTAATAACTTGATAGTTATGATAATTTATATCGCACCACGTTACATTCAATTAATTTAAAATTAGCTGGTAAAAATCTTGTTTTTATTTTATTTTTTTAAATTTCAACTATGAATTCTGTTTGATACTGACTTTAGAAACAAATATTTATAAATAAATATAACATAAATATTTCTAAATGAAAATTCACAATACCTTAAGTGCAGATTCTTTCTGGCCAAGACGTGCTTCGAGACTTCCTTTTTCTTCTTGGGCTTGCCGTAGAGCTCCCATCGTAGATGCCAATCTGGCTTCATTGCGGGATAGTTCTTCATTCTGTGATCTCAAGTGCTTTTTGGTTTCAGAAAGTGTAGCTTTAAGATCATCTCTTTCCCTTTCTACTTGTGCTACTCCTTGCATGAGTGCTCGAACCCCTCTCCTGACAGCTTCAGGGTCTAAATCACCTCCTCCTCTTTCCTCCCCTCTAACAGGGCTCCACCTGAAATTCCATGAATATGGCTATTCGTAAAAACTTGAAACCAAAAATATAATATATTATTTTTATTAATAAAAACAAAAAAGTATCCATGCCAATCCAATAATGAAATAAGATTTCTATAATAATAAAAACATTGCCCATAAATAACAAGTAACATTTAGAATGAAGAGTTACAGTTTACCTCCTGGTTGGAGAACTGAGCTTATAAGGGAGAGAAATGCTACCATCCATTTGTATTCCAGCGATCCTCCTTAATGTAGAGCCAACCGAACTCAATTTGCTTTCAACTTCCCTTTTTGAAGTTTCAACTTGAATTAGTTGGGCTTCGAGTGCTCTAACTCGGCCTTCGGAACCTCCCAATCTTGCCTACAAATGAATATTTAATGATATATTATTTAAGAGGAAGAGTTATAATGGTACTAGGTTTTAGAAATTAAAGATACCTTTTATTTATAAAACCTCGATAAATATTTAATTAAAACATTATAATAATAAAATTAATCAACATTATACAGGTGAATAAATTCACTAATAGCTAAATAGGACTTGCTTTGATAAGTCTTAGGGCAAAAAAAATTCACTAATGGGATATAGCGATTTATCGAGTTGGTCTTGGCATTAAAATGGTAAAACTATATGGCACATTCATAATTGTAAACCAGTTCATAGAAATTCTTTACCAAATATCCACACAACCTTATAGTGAGTAATTAAAGATAGACATCAACTAAGAAGTGTGTATATATGAGTAACTACTCAAGAAGATAATGAAGCTGCTTAGGTGATTAAAAAAATTATTAGATAGAAAGTTAATTTAAAAACTTATTATTATTAAACTGTTTAATTCTTTAAAATTATTTATTTATTTGAATCCTACCGTGCTATTGAGGCAATACGGGTTTCGCAGATCTGGGCATTATACGTCACTGCATAACAGCCTGCTTCTGCAACGAGACCAATTTTCATGCTTAAATTTGTTGTCTATGGCCTTATTCCGCTCCTCCTTGTTCCTGGCGGCCTCCCTGGCACGGGTCCTCTTCTTGTGAGGTTGAAGTGTGCGGGTCCAATGGCTTCTTTCCACACGTACACAAATTCTTTGTAGTACGGGTAGTTTTCTTCCGTAACTAGCTGAGGGAAATCGGACTCTGTGAGAACATAGAGACCAATCTCCCTCACCAATTTGGCTCTTAGCGACTCAAAGGCGATGCAGTTTGTGATAATATGCTCAGCAGTCTCCGGGATCCCACAGCTAGGGCATAGGGGATCGATATATTTTCCAAATCCATGGAGCTTGTCTCGAAAGCCCCCATGACCTGCAAGGAATTTCGAGAGCCAGTAATCTGGGAGGACCCACTTGGCTTCCAAACGCGATTGAACGTTGGGGAAGTACTTCCTTAGAGTGGCTCCTTTCGGACTTGTCACCCACCGTTCATTCCACACTTTAATTTTATCCTCCCGGATAATAGATTTCCATTTTGTGGGGTTTTCATTGATTCTCGCTTTGAGGTTTCCCGGTAGACCTGCTGAACCTTCCTTCTTATACATGTACCTGAACATATCTTCTCGCAGGAGGAGTTCAAGAGGCACTCCTCCCGCTAGTACCTGCACCGCCTCATGAGAAACAGTCCTGTATGCTCCTGTACGGTGACTCGCAGCAGAGCCGTTTGCTGGATTGTCGCCAACTTGCTCTTCTGTCGGTGCGAGAGGTACCGATTCCAAAACGATTTTAATTCTTTAAAATGCTGAAGCATTACACTTTGGGCCAAATTGTTATTATTAATAATTTTATACACCAAATTATTAGTAACAGTGGATAATTGACTTACCTTGAGCTCTTGTATTTGCTGTGTAGCATCAGCTAGACAAACTTCTAAATTATGAGCGGTATCTTGCAACTTTCTTTCACCTGCTCGACTGTCTTCAAGTCTCAAAAGGAGTTCTTCTTCTCTTTGGCGCCATCTTCTATCATCCTCATCACCCTTACTTCTGCTCTTGGCAACCTCTTCCCTCATATTTTCAAGCGCATTCTCTAGTTCTTGAACCTAAATTTTAATGAAAAACACCTTATTTTTATATAATGAATTAAATGATAGATTATCAAATAGAATTTTGGTTTCAAAGTTAATAACAATTAAATAAGAATAAATAATTTACTGATTGATCAAAATACACTTCTATCATCTACTATATTTGCAAACACCCAAAATTTTAACAGACCTATCTATACTTTATTATATTTAATACAATAAGTAAAGATCCAGCAGTTAATAATGGTGATAAAGATAGAAATTTATTTCTTTTTGAACTACAATCTTTTATAAAGAGAGAATTAATAATTTGTTTGCACTTTAGTTGGGCGCACACCTTAATGAAAATGGATACATCGATTCAGAGGATACTGAGCGAATTGCTGCTGCGAGCAGTTAAGAAAGGTTTTCTAAACAAGCGTGAGGTGAAAAAGAAAACAAAGATGGCTGTTTTCAGATCGACATTTCTTCCAATTTTAATGTACTCTTCAGAATCATGGACGCTGACAAAGAAACATCAATCAAGAATACAAGTGTCATAAATGTGATTCCTCTGAAAGATTGAGGGGAAAACGAGAAGAGACAGACCATCAGGTCAAACCTCAATATTAAGCCGGCCAATGATGTGATTGAAGAGAATCGACTAAGATGGCTAGGACATCTTCTGCAGATGGAACCAAACAGAATACCAAGCGAAGCCTATGGAGCTAAAGTAGAGGGCACGAGAAGAAGAGGACGGCCTAGAAGAAAATGGGAAGATGAGGTGAAGAACGACATCCAGAGAAGAGGACTTCGATGGAATGATAGATGGCGTATTGTGGAGGACCGGCAGAGCTGGAGGAGGCTCTATAAACTTCCTCCTCACACTGCTTAATGCGGTTCAAGAGGATGGATTATGATGATGAAAAACTAATAGAACATTTATCACTTAATAATAAAAATATCAAGCCACATTTCATTATTAATTTATTCTTTCAAAAACTCACCTGTTTTGAAAGTTGGTGCTGATGTTGTTGAGCCCTATCACGTTCTTCCATAACACTCGCGATTCTTGCATCAAGTTGTCTTGCTTCACTACGTTTAGTTTCTATTTCTGTTCTTGCTTTCTCTAATTCACCGGACAGTCCTCCACTCTCTTGTTTAGCTTCCATTAAACTTCTATCCATGTCTCTCATTACAGCTTGCAAGCGAGATCTCTCTACATCTAAGGCTCTCTTAGCTTCCTCAAGTCCTGAATTAAATTTCAATAAATAGAAAGCGAAAATGATTTTTCTAAACTAAAATTACTTTACAAATTAAAATTGAAGAATAAACAAAAATATGATTCAGGAAAAAAAAAGTTTTGCCTTTTATAAATATGGTGGTAATAATGGAAGGAATCATTAGTTCTAAAATCATTTTTGTCCATATTTCCTGAAAAAGCATTATTTTTTTCTCAAATTACCATTTACCTTTCTGTTATGTGTGCTTTGAATTAATAAATAAAGCAAATTCTACTTACGACTTTTTCATTTTTAGCTCAATACATTGAGCTATAAGAAATTACCTTTTTTATAAAAATTCATTTTATGAAACTTTGGAAATCCTGACTATATGTCTTATATATAATATCTCTTCCGTAGCTTCCAATAAAAAGAAAAAGAAATCTAATACATTATAATTTGTTAATATTACCTGCTATTTTTTGCAGAGCTTCTTCTAAAGATCTAGCCTGTTCACGCTTCTGACCTTCTACCCTCTTAACGTGCTCCCTAAGCTCTTTGTTGGAGCTGCTATACTTCTCTCTTTCAAAAGAAGCATCTGCCAACTGCCGTTTCACATCGGTCAACTCTTTGATTAGAGATTCACGATGATTTTCGACTGAAATCATTTGAATAGAATCATTGATCAAAGCTAATTAAATACATCTTGACACAAGTTGAAGAAATAATTAACTAGAAAATATAATCGTTTAATTAGATAATCCAACAATAGATCAACTATTGAATGCATACAAGTAATGAAGATGTTATGTGAGGTTGTCCAGAATACTGGTGTTACATGGTGGGAGTTACTTTCGGAGTGAAAGCTCCACTCCACAAAATAGAAAATAATTTTTTTTCATTGGTTTTTCTGTGATAAATAATCAAACGATTACAATGTACTCTTTTATATTATAATATGCATATACAGCTACTAAATGCAAGCATGTATCAAGAAAAAGATAAAAATTTGTCTGTAAAAACATTATTGCTTTTTTTTTTTTTTTATCAACAGGATTTCAGACATAATTTTAACATCTTTTTATATAGTGCCATCCCCAATAATAAATGGTTAAAAAAAAAATTTTAAAAACACAAAAATTAAATCTTGAATCTGCCACTGGTACAGAATAAGATCAAATTGTAGAAACTATTTTACACGTTTTGATTTCTCATGTAAACTATGGTTGATGTGTGTAAATGTTCTTGGTCTTCTTGAATATAAAATTGCTGAGACTATATTACATTTTTTTCAGACCTTCATGTGAAGTACTGAGCTCTTAGAAAAACCTCAGTCAAAAAGTCAAGGTGAATCAACAAGTATCACTCTGGAATGGTTGGTACACCGACTGCAAACACGGTTCTGTACAGAAAAACATTATAAAGGAATAATAATCAATGGTGCATAAATGATTTTTATTCGTATAGTAGAGGAAGGTCATTTCTCCACCTTTCATTTTAACTTTTGACTATCTTTCTTCTCTAAGTCTTGGTATTTACAATGATACCACATTAACATTCACATTGGTTACAAAGCGATGGATTACAAGTTGGACAGCCCTGTACAGAACTAAAAAACAAAAATGGTTGCCAAGGTCCAGAGAAGCAAAAAAATTGAGGAGTTTTACTCTAATTACTGTTAGGGTATGAGAATGATACAAAACAAAAAATGATAGAGTTGCTTGACTTGCGAATAAAGTAAAACAATTTACTTCCCCACAAGAATAACAAGCTTTTGTAAATATTTCCTATGGAAGCTCACATGACACTGAAAACTTTGTAGAGTAGGACCTCAAATGGAAAGTAGAACTCCAGAAATCCTAGTGATGAGAATAAAAACGTTTAGGCCAACTTATATATGAGTATGCCAACCAGTCTACTCTACAATATATTAGTTCCTACAATTTGATGTTATTCTTGACCGTGACTTGGACCATCCTTCAATACATAATTACATTTCATCTGTTAAAGCCACAACAGTTTCTACAATCAATTAAGATATATGTAAATTGGACACCCAAAATTATAATAGAGTATTTATTTTTCAAATTAATACTTTCTTGAAACCACCAATAGTCATGTCATACTATCAATTTTAATTTTTGGGAGACAATATTAATTTTTTGAATGGTTTGGTATTGTTACAACAGACATGAGGTTATTACCATCTTTAAGCCGTCGTGCAGTGTCACTGAGTTGAGTCTGACAGGAATCAATCCTGTCTTCGGCAAAATGCAGTTGAAGTTTCAAATCTTCGCACTGCTGAACCTCAACATCACGTTCTTTTACAAGCTCAGTTATACGATTTTCCAAAGATGATTTTTCTTCCTCACATTTTGTTCTGAAATAAAATTATTATCTGAATTGAATAGGTCATGGACTGATAATAATAACAATATTAAACTGGATAATGTTCATATAACCTAGTGATATAGAAAGAAGTTAATATGCTGTTAACATAAATAAAAACTAACTACATCAATAAGTAAATAATTAAAAATAAATCAAAACATAAATTTTGTAAATAAAATCACATAAATAAATTGCTATCTATCTGTTATGCTTTGGCTGCCTTCCATGAGGTTGCCAGCTAATAGGAATATGTAATCTCTATGATTAATAGAAGCTCTGTATCTGATGGAAAGCTTAGTGCATGCTAATATTAAAAATATTTATTGACCAATTACTAATGAAATTACCTTTTTTTAAATAAGAGAAGAGTAAAATAACTAAAGAAATCATAATAAACTCACTTAAATAAGTCATATTTGGCACTGGCTGATGTGAGGCTTTCTCTAAGAGAAACGATGGCTGTTCTGTCTTGGTCATAACGAGTTGCTGCTTCCCTCCTATTTCGCTCATGAGCTGCACGTTCAATCTCAATCTCTCTCCTCGCATCTTCTAATCGTTCAGCAATGGCTTGCTGATCTTGTTGAGCTAAAAGTTAAACATATCTCTCTTATATTAACTCATTCCCTTTAATTAATATTCAATATGAGAATAAATTTTTTAATTCTATAAGAATAAATTTAACCTAATAATAATGCTTGCTGTTTTTCACTTTCCGCACGAAGAAGAACTTCCTCATGCTGCTGGACTACATTTTCTATCTGTTGTTGAAGGGCAGCTATTCTTTGTTGGAGTTGTTGAATTTCCAGATCTTTTTCTGCTTCTAAGGACGACACAGTAGTATGTAATTTTTTTTCCAACATGGCTCTTACTTGTTCCTGTAATTAAAATTGAAAATTTGTCAGTAGTGAATAGTTATTATTAGAAAGTCATGTATTTTTAAAGGTGTGTTTAAACATTTTGCAAACTATGGGAAATACAATTATATAATTTATCTAAAAGTGATATTATTGCTAAACCAACTATTTATTTTATTTCTCTCGTTATCAACAGCAGATGGAAAATATTAAAAATAAGAAACAAAAACATTAGTATAGTAAAATAACTAATGTTTGTGGAATGTCTAAACGCACTTAAACATATTTTGACGAAACATAACAAAAACATGTAAATTCATGGTACAGTGAAACTATTAAATTGCATCAAACTATTTCATCAGTTCTTTTGATTAATCTGAAACTCTATTTAGCTAAAGTAATAGTCTGTCTTATTAGAATATTTCTCGAAAGCAAGAAACAAAACAAATTATGTTTACTTTTTCTTCTGTTAGCTTATTTATGGTTTCTTCACTTTTCTTTTGTAAATTAGTAAGTGTCTGCTTAAATTCTGCCTCCTTTGAACCAGACTGCTGCAGAAGAGATGCCTTAACTTCCTGACTTTTTCTTTCTGTATTTTCTAGATCTGTTTTTAGTCTCGTCACTTCTCCCTTAAGTGATTCCTAAATAAATTCAAAGTTACAAGTTCAGAATATTGTAAAAAAGATATTTTACAATAAAGAGAATTTCTAAAGAAAATTTGAAACATTATAATCATTTAATATTAAAAAATTTTAATAAATAAGAAGCAACAAATTTTCATGAAACTTACCTGTTGAACAAGAAGTTCCTGCAAATCTTTATCTAATTGGTTCTTATGTGAAGTAAGATCTTCTAGATTAGCTTGTGTATCAAACAATGTCGCTTCGAGAGCTTCTTTATCAGCACGCATTGAAGCGATTTGCTCCTGTAATCTTTGTATTTCTTTTTCATTCCCTTCCAACATAACCTGTGTATAATAAAACATGTTTAAATTGACAATTAAATAGATACATAAAAAAATTATACTTTTTCCCAAATAAAACTTTTTTCACCTGTTTATTTTCACAATCCTTTACAAGATCTTCAAGACTCCTGTTTATTCTGGAATTTGTTTCATTTGCTTGCTCTAGCCTCTGTTTGATTCTACTGACTTCTTCAGCGAGCGCTTCTCTTTTTCTACCTGCTACGGCTAGTTGGTTGCTTAATTCACTCCTTTCTCTAACGACTTGAGCGAGCTCCAACTCAACCTAGGTTTTGAATAATTTTTGTAATAACTAAAATAATACTGAATATATATTACCAACAACATCTTTTCAATTAATTTTAATAATATTTCATAAGGAAAATTTTAATGAATTTTTAATCAATTTCACCTGTAGTTGATGTCTAACTAATAATGTCTAAATATCTTTTCAAATACGTGCATTTGGAAACCTTTAAACCTATTTTTAGTTTATATATTTTTGAGTGAAAGCATAAATTTCAATATTTTGAATAAACAGATTAGTTTACTGAAAAATATTTAAATTTATTATATATTAAATTTAATTTAAGAATAAAGATTATATTACACACAACAGATAACTTTTTTTTATACTTTACCCTACACACTCATTATTACTATAGTTTTAGAAAGAAATATTTGATTTATTTTGCTTTTAGAGCCATTTAATAAATAACATTAAAAATAATTGCATATTTGGGCTACTTCAATCCATTATTATTATTATTATTACTATTATATGTATATGAGTTATGAAAGCTATAGTCAATTGCTGAAAAAAAAAAATCCTCCAGGAATGTCAAGTACTAAAGTTAGTATTTTTTTTTATTTCTATAAAAAATCATATTAAAGAGTTTTAAAGAACATTAAAAATGAATTTAATTTACATTTTTATAATAAAAATTTACTTGGCCTACTCTAAGGGAAGCATCTTTGTTTTTCTATAATTTATAATACATTGTAATTCATTAAATACTATAGGCAATATTTGTTTCTTATTCTGCACAAAAAAAAGAAATTAGTACAAAATAACCTAGAAATATATGTAAAGCAAAGATAAAATAAGATAAAATTTTGTTGAAATTATACAAATAAATTTTTTCCAGCTCAAAAGGCCCATTGACACGAACACAAGGACATGCATCCAATAGTTTTGATGTAGAATTATAAAAAACAAAAAACAAATGGGTCACTGATTTAAACATAATTTTGTTTTTTGACAAGGGAAAACATCCCTTTGTTCCTAATCGCAACAAACACAAATTTTCGATTAGTGTTTTAGATCTTATATAAGTTAAAGAAAATTGGAAGATTTAAAATTTGCATTCCTTTGCGATAATACTTTAAAAAACTGCAAACTATTTGCATAATAGTAAATTGGATGCAGATAGAATGAAAATAAATCATAGAAGGACAGTGTAAAATATAATATTAATTATATAAATAAAAAAGTCAACCAATGATTTAATTTGTGATTTTAAGACTTTTGTAAAAGCTTAGTAATGGTAATACTTGAATTTACTTTTCTAAATAATTTAGTACTTTTTCTGTTCATGTGACATCATCAGAAGAACTTTACTGTTTCAAATATATCTACCTTTTCTTTTTCCATTTCTAAAAATTTGCATTTTTCTTGTAGAGACACTTTCTCTGAATCCAAATCAAGTCTTGTTTGTTCTCCATTAAGGATTTCTTTTCTCATGGAAGCTAGGTCACTATCTTGGTCTAATACCTGATTCTGAAGCATGGCTTTTTCATCCTGCAACTGAAGCAATTCAAATATTTAATATAATGAAAAAATAATAAAACAGTAGTATAATGTTTTCATATGGATTATTTACTATTCCTAAATTTATTGGTTACATTTAATGTTCTAATGATATATTAGAACTTGTTTATTTCATATAAGAGTTTACAGGGTGAAGGGCCCATAAACAGGGAGGCTATAAAGGCTGATTGTTAAGGATGCTCATTGTGTAAGGATTCAGTAGTCATTTGTTTGATTCACATTTAGGTCAGTAAATATTTATTTTGAAGCAGTGGCTTAAAATGATTTTCGATATCCCATTGGCCAGGAAAGAGCAACAACTTCTAAATATTTATCTGGAGTTGGCAAATAGGCCTTCTTGTATAACTAGCTCTGTGTTCCAACAAAAGTTAACTTATATTGCTGGATAGTATTTATAAAAATAACATTTTATTTCATTACTTAAAACTTTACTCAGGTAAAAATTATTCTGAATATAATAACAAAACTTAATTAAATATCCTTACTTTTTTTATTTCCTCAAGAAGTTTCTTTTTTTCTGCTTCTAACTGTGCTGCAAGGGTTTCAGCCTTTGCCAAAGATTCATGCATATCAGACTTTTCCAGCAATACTTGTTCCAACTCCAATTCAACTTCACCTGAAAAAAAAGGACTTTATTTTGTGAAAATAAAATATAAATTTCTTTCTTAGTTTAAAAGACTTTTGAACAAATACCCAACAGCCAAGCTTGCAAAAATATATGTCAATAATTTAATATTAAATTAAAAAGTTATAGAATACATGACTAACCTCTCGATTTATCAATATGCATTAGGAGACTATCAGTTTCATTCTTCTGCTGTTCGAGTAAATCTCTTGCCAACTGCGCTTTGGCCAATTCCTCTCTGAGGGTCAATGTTTCTTCTTTTAATCTACTACATTTTTCTTCTTCAGTTCTTAAACTCATTTCTCTACAAACCACAATTAAAAAATAATTACAAAGAATTAATTATGGTAAAGAATAAAAAATCAAGTAACCTTAAAAACATTAATGAGACAATATCATTCACAAGTTTATTAAAAGTCATTTTTAAAAATTCAAAAGTTCAGTAATATCTTAGAATTTATTAAAATAGGTGATTTATTTTGTGTAATAAATTAACTTGTATACATTATAATTATACATTTTGGCTGCACAGTAATAAAAACAGTTATTGTTATAGTATGCATGTTTACATGTTTTTTTATTAAGGAAGAAGACGGTTTGGGATGGCAGTCATAAATAGACTAAATAGTGTAAAAACTATTTTATTAAAAGCCAACGTTTCGACCCGACTTTGCAGGTCTTCTTTAGGAAGATGTGTTCAGCGAGGAGTTTAATTTAGAATTGTATTTCAGTTCTAAGTAAAACTCCTCGCTAAACACACTTCCCTGAAGAAGACCTGCAAAACTGGGTCCAAATGTTGGCTTTTAATAAAATAGTTTTGCCACTATTTAGTCTATTTATGACTGCCACCCCGAACCATTTCCTTCCTTAATAATACAACGGTCAACTATTATGTATTCTAAATGTGTTATGTTTTCACAATCAATCAGAAAAGAACAATCAATCATGTTTTCAAGATAATCCCTAATCGTGTGATGAGCAGTTTATTAATAAACTGTTCAATTTATTATTTAGCGAACAAATATTAATTTAATATTCTCCTTATTGATGATTTTTATAAGATTGGAAGTCTCCTTTTGCACAATCAAGTCCCACTCTTCTTTGATGAGGATTGAAAATGATTAAGTTAAAGTTAAAAATTAATAATTAACAGAAAAATTAATATATAACTATTTTAGAATTTTATATGTGTGAATATGACAAAGTGAGTTTGGGAATTGTAGTATGTATCTATTTTTTTTAAATGTATATATGTTATTTGTTTTATTTACTTTTCTGATTCATAATCTATAAAACATGGAGCCATTATAAAACCGCAAGCCAAGGCTGCACAGCAGAGCTTATTAAAAACACTGTCTAATTGACTATAAGGACAAAGAATATTACTTTTAACCAATTTATTCCCAACCTCTCTCTCTTTGAGGGACCTGTGTAAAAAAACTTTCAGCCTTCACTACTCCTAGAAGGAAATAAAAGCCAGGCTGAGTCCCAGGAACTTTTAATGGAAATGAGAAGGGCCTCTATGTATAGGCAGATAACAAGGATAATAGAAGTCTAGAATCTTTGTTCCATAGAAAAGGTTAAATAGTCTTGAAGATGATATTTGCAGCTGGGTAATAAACCTTTGGATAAAAAAAAAAAGATGCCCAACTTCGCTGGATCTATTGCTACTTCAGTCATGAAACCCAAAAGTAAGGGGGAGGATTTCTTAGTTCTCAGAGTTCTTCTTTGTTAATAATTTAGTTATAGATGAATGGATGATCCCAAGCTTTGGAAACCAATCCATTATTCACATTCATAATATTTTTAACACGTTAAGCCAAGAATGGCAGTTTTGAATAACATATAACATACTACTAAATCCCACTGGTTCTTTGCAAAGAAGAAAAAAATATAGGAAGTGATATTACGTAATTGACAAAACAAAAAACAGCAACACTTACTGAACATGCCTTACTCAATAAGCAATGCATGCTCTAGCTTGTTAAAAAAGATACAAATTTAATAGATCTAATCTAAGGGACAATGAAAATATAGGGTAAAAACCAATCCAAAATTTACATGTTTTTTATACAAATAAGAATCTTGAAAATTGGGGAAAATATGGTTGGATTGTTGAGAGAGGGACATTAAATAACCAAAAAGAAATTTGTGAATTCTTGTTGCAAAAGAAGAGCTTTTTATATCACAATATTATAGAAAGCATGTTGGATGGATTTTGAACTACTTCCGAATTCAGTTGACATCAAAATACTACTGTATATCAGGTAAAACCAAAAGAGAATAAAGATGTCTGACTATGAAGATGTATATTGTCATAAATGTAATTTTCTTTTTTTTTTCTTTTTTTTTTGGTATCATCATAGATTTAAGCAACAATTTATAAAAGATTTGTAAAAGAACTGTAGGAAAATCTCAGCACAAATATTTTAAGTTACACAAAGAACTTTAGAGAGTTAATAAATAAGATACCGCAAGATGAGATTAAATTTTAAATATTTTTTTTCTTAACAATAAATTTTCTACGTGCTTAACTCTAAAACCTTGTTGAATTTTGCCATAAAAGTAACAGAATCCATATCACAGTGTTTTTCATGTGCACTAAAATATTAATACATAAATGAAAATCAACGGTTGCATTCACAGATTTTTTCTTTTCCTTGCATCACATAAACACAATTATCAGTTCTACAATTTGCTACATATAATAAGCATAGCATTAAATAAAACCATTTTAAATATTAGTTATATTTTTTAAATATACATAAGTAACAAAGACATTGTAATAAGGTCATATTTTTTATACCTGGTTTTCAACAGATCTTTACCTTTCAGAATCACTTGTCTAGAAAATGCATTATAGGCCATTAAACTATGGGTCTATGCAACAGCTAAATCTTCAACGAATGGTTAATTATTAATTTTTTTATTTGTAGTAGGGTTTTGACCCTTGATGGCAATGTAAAAAAATTGCATTATGTGTACGATAGTCAAATAAATTGTTTTTCTAAAGTGCTATGGATGAAACTTGACTACAGAATTAAATTCTTTACTAAATGACATAATCATCTAAATTGGACCAATATAGGCAAAATTGATGTTGGGCTGTGAATCCATGTCTTTAAAAGTAGTCAGGATATGCTATGTAACCCATTTAATTTTGTTTAGTTTTTTGATCACCCTAAAAACAAGACATCTTCCAGAACATTCAAGATGTCATTTGAAAGTGAAAATTGTTTACAAACGCAAGTCTAAAAAAACAATTTCAATCTGATGAATATATTATGGAAGATATAGAAAACATTTTATGGATTGGAATTTTTACCTAAATCTTTCCCCAGGATAATTCTGTGAGACCAAATATTTTTTAAAAATAAATACTGGAAACTAAATTATTAACAGAAAAACTGAGTGGAAAATATAATTTTATACTCTAATCCTTTCTGATTTTTTGAAACTTTATTAGTAGTCTTATAAAAAAAAGATAATCTTGGAAGGTATTTTTTTGGAAATTTTAGCATCTAGGAAATTTTGTAAAGTATAGCTATTTTATTTGCAGATCCATCAAAAATGTCTTGAATGATTTAAAAATTGTAAATGCTTAGTTAAAAATTGAAGTAAATCAAAAGAAAATAAAAAATAGTTTTGGTTAAGCATTATTTATAATATTTAGTCCATTTGAAATAGTTTCTAATTAGATGATGGAACAAACATTATTTAGTCGATGTTTAAAAACAAATAACAACTAACCAATAATAAAAAAATTAATGCATAAGTAATTTTATTTAGAATTATTGTTTTTTTCTTCTTCTTCAAATTGAATCAATCGAAAACCATTTTGAGAAGTAACATCACATGGTTCACCTGTTTCTTGACCCCGGAGATTAAATTTCAAATCCGCAACTGCATTTCTATAAATACCATGTTTTTTTATCTTATTACAATTAACTTCTGAGAAGAATGTATTATAATGTGATAATATCAAAATCTAATAATATATGTTGAATGATCCAACTATGATATATAACATATTGAGTTAACAAATGAATAAATTTTAATATACCACCATAAAAAAGTATCAATTAGAAAAAACAAGACTGCAATGGCAAATAATAAGATGATGATGAAGCTTCTAAAACATCAGATGAGCATTAGCACCAAAGAATGACAATGTCAAGAAATTGAACGAATAAATTCAAATCCCAACTGCCTGAAGACCACAATCCATTATTAACCAAGATAGACACATCATAGATGAAAATCAAGCTGTCACTTATTTAATTACATTTCTCACTCATCCAAATGGAATGGCAACGCATATTTTGATGTTAACAAAGGGATCTCTGTTGATGTTAATTCCAAACTGAAACTGTTAAAATCTGATATAACGGAACGAAACTTGGCATTAAGGAGCTGTCAGCTAATTAGGTTGATGCAAAAATTAACAAAAGAAAATTCAAAGTCATGCTCATTCCATGATTATAGTCCGTGGGTACAGACCCCTTTTGAGATGAAGCTATTCACGAAGTTTCAGATGGATGTTAATAGTTTGATAAAAAAGGGTCTGTACCATGGACTATAAACAATTATTTCAAACAATGTTAAATTCTAATTCAAGCGGCTTCAGTTTCCAGTGCACCTTGCCTTTACCTTTACCATCAACAAAACACTTGCTTTCTTCAAAGTTGAACCATCTAAAAATTTATATATTTACATACCAAACCAAATCACATCAAGACAAAAACGTTGTCTCTTGGTTTATCTTGGTTCATTGATAAATGCACGAAATAACATTGATTGTGAGATAGACAGGAGGATTGCAGTGGCTAATCAGTGCTATTTCTCCCTCCAGAGACATCTTCGCAGTAGAATGTGGTCAAGACAGGCCAAAATAAGAATATATAAAACTCTTATTAGACCAGTGCTCACATATGGCTGTGAGAGTTGGACCTTAACTAAAGCAGTTGAGAAATCCCTGTTCAGATTTGAAAGGAGAATTATACGACACATATTTGGTGGGGTTCAGGAAACACCACAGAATTCGAGGAGGAGAATGAATTTGGAAATAAAGACATTGTTTAATGACCTGGATGTGAGCCAATTCATCGTACTGACAAGACTACGCTGGACGGGACATGTTGCGCGGATGGATATGAATTCACCCCCACAGAGAGATATGAATGAGCCTGTGTTTGGAAACAGACAAGCGGGAAGACCATGTTTGCGCTGGCAAGACTGTGTGGCTGCTGATGCATGTAGACTACTTGGTGTCAGAAATTGGAAGGCTGCAGCAACTAACCGGGAGAACTGGAGATCTATGCTGGCACAGGCCAAGTCTCAAATAATTGGGATTTAGTGCCATTTAATAATAATAATAACAATCTCTATACCTGACAAAGTTAATTCCATCAGACTATTTGTTAATGGTCAATAAGCTGTTGAAAAGCACAAATATATATGTGAAGTTAAAAAAAATAGTTTTTTATGTTGCATTGCAAAGCATGCTGGGTATAAATATTAATAAAAACTAGGCATTATTATTAATAAAAATTGCTTTTTATCACTTTTTTGAATGTGACAGAAATCATTGTTGACCATGTTATAATCCCTAGATACATTGATTTTTTAAAAATGTTTTTCAACTAAAGGAATTATCATTTTAAGGATTAAACTAAATTTATATTCATTAAAATTACCTGAGGCCCAAATTTGAATTAAAATTTGAGGCCCACCAGACTTGCTGGAGGGTGTGACGTAGGATTGAACGCCCTACTCACATACCTTTAGTTCACCAAACACCACATAAAAGGTTAATATTTGCTGTGCCGAATGGTAAGCGTCCGAGGGGTAGACCGAAGCGAAGGTGGGAAGATTGCATTAAAGCTGATCTGAAGGGACTGGGTTTGGACGGCGAACGGTGGAGGGAGGTGTGTAACAAGCGATTGGTGGTGTCGGCATCGAACCTTCGGGTTCGCTAAGCCTTATTATTAAAATTACCTGAAGTGAGTTAGCATAATGGAAAAGGAACTGGCATTAAATGATAGCCCAGTAACCTTGTACATCGTAAGTTGCATTGAATGGGGGTAGATGGTTTCTTTTTATTTTCTTGTATGGGATATGACTGAGATGCAAAATCCAAATTTTTGACTTCGATATCCCCTGGATCACTTTTGAATATCCCAAAAACTGCTATATTTTAGCACTTTTTTCGATTTTCCCTATTTTATCCATGAAGGAGGACATTTTCGACAAAAAAAACACTCATTTCATTTTAAATCTAGATTAAATATGCTACAATTTAACACCAGAACAGGCTCAGTAAATCCAATAGTTTACGAGACACAGATTTTTAAATTTTAGAAAATTTTATTTTCCATTTAAATTATTTTTCATGTTTGATCATATGCAATTGTTTTTTATCTTCAATAGCCTTTCTGATATGAGTCAGCAAAGTAAATATTTATTCATCTTAATATTTTGAAAGAGGAGGGGGGAGAATTTGGTGGAAGAGGATAATCCGTGGGCCCATCCCTCCACATCAAACTATAGATTGCACATCGTTGTGTTCATTGTAAATATATATATATTAAAAAAAAAAGTGGCCACACTGTCCCAAAATGGTGTTCAAATATGGCTGTGACGAAATTTGATTTGAGTTAGTTTTTCGGCCTTGACAATCAAAAATACTAGTAAAGTTAATTTTTTCAAGTCGTTCAAACTAAGGTTGAAAATCAAGCATCATTTGTAATTAAAAGGCCAACAAAGAAAAATGTCCTGAAATAAAACATCGAGACAATACATTTATCTTTCTAAATCACTGATTAATGTTTAATATATTTGAAACAGTTCTTTAGAAAATGCACTTAATCGGAAAGAAAAGCGGCACTTAGGTCATTTCAGCTTACTTATTTTATTAATTAATTATAGCCATTTCTTTATTCATGTATTCTACTCCTTCAAAATAATAACTTAAATAAATGTTTACTTCACTAAAACTCTTATAAGGCAGGTTATTGAAGACATAAACATGAAATTAGCTTAACATTTTCAAGTTTTGAAAATTTCATACACTATTTTGTACATACCAAAAGTGATATAAATGTTGGTTAAATAATTTTATTATTTCAATTTCAGTCTTCTGGTTGTGAAAAGTGATCTCCCCTCTCCCACCAAACCTCCCCTCCTCCCTCACCCCTCCTTCAACGTTAAAATGAATAAAAATTCACTTTACAAAACCATATAAGACAGGTTATTGAAGATATAAAGAGAACTGTATATGATCAAACAGAAAAAATAGCTTCAAATTTTCAAGTAAAAAATTTTTCTATAATTTGAAAATCTGTATCTTGTAAACTATTAGTAGATTTAATGAGTCTCTTCTGGTGTTAAATTGTAACATATTTAATCTAGTTTAAAAATGTATAGTATTTTTGGTCAAAAATATGCTCTATTATGGTCAAAATGGGGAAAAACCAAAAAAAGTGCAAAAATATAGCAGTTTTTGGGTTTTTAAAAAGTGATTCAGAGGGAGGGGGGTGTCAAGGTCGAAAACTTGAATTTTAAATCTCAGTCACATCCCATACAAAAAAAAAAAAAAGATACCTTCTACCCTCATTCCTTTTCGTAACAAGGTTACTGGGCTATGATTTCACTGGCATGATTTTATCCCCAATATTCAGGCCTGGATTTGACAGAAAATTAATTATAACTGCAGTGGATTAATTCTGGATATCCACACCTAATACTATAAAGCAGGGACCCTTTAATAAATTGGTCCTGGAAAAATCTTGATTATTGAATGTGATCCTAACAAGAATCACTTCTCATTTTACAGATGGCCAAGTAAAAATACTATTCAAGAACTAACACCAATGTTTTCTTTCAAAGGAGTTTTGTGGATTGTGGGAGGAAGGAGGTGGGAGACCATCCTACTGGTAACTATTTTAACCAAAGTAAGAAGATTGAGATTTACTGCATGGGTCCAACACAAAATAAATTTCATCCTGCCTGGACGGATTCCAACCGATGTCGCTTGACGTGAGATTGCTAATGTGACACTCATGGCTCTCATGAATTCTCAAAAAAAGACATAGAGCTGGTCCAGGAAAGGGAAGTTTGGAACTGGATTCACAAGAGGCCTCCAAACAGCAAAGTGCAATAGAGAAGATGGATTGAGAAAGAATAAATATAATTTTTAAGAAACCAAATTCTAATTATTAAATAATATATTCGAAAGTTTTAACAACAATACCCTGTCATGGTATATTTTAATTATTTGTTGTTAGCAATACTATAAACTATACAACAATAGTTTATTTGCTATAATTCATGTCAAGTTGACGTTTCATAGCAAATAAACTATTTATTTTATACTTGGAAGTTTTTATTGCCAACAACAAAGAAAATTAAACAGCTTCAAAAAAAAAAAGAAAAGAAGAATGTATATTTCAAGTAATTAAATGAATAAATTAACATATAACATGTTGGATGCAAAAATGGTCAGTTTCTAATAAATAATTAATTACTGAATATATTAACTTCATACTTTTACTTAGTTAAATATCCTTGAGACTGATTATTTTTAAGAGAGAAAGCTTGCTGTTATTCGTTATTAAGAAATAAGTATTATAATTCTTTACCTAATTTTATAGAACTTCTATTTAATTAATTGTTGAACGTTCTAAAGCTTCAGTTTTTGGCTAAATCCATTTTTGCATTCAATGGGTCATCAATATATCTTGAATCAAAATATGAAACAGAAATTCTTACCGCAATTCAGCATCTTGTTTCAATCGATCAATTTCATCAAATATGTATTTTTTTTCTTCTTCTAGTGAGTCAATTGTTTTTTGAAGTTTTATATTTGCTTTGTTTGTTTTCTCCAATTCCTTTCCAACATGTTCCAACTGAAACAATTGAATTGAACCAAATTATTTGACTTTAATTAAAACAAAATGTGATAAAGCAATAAAAAAATTGAATAAGCAAGAAATACCATTTCATTAAGTTCTGTTTTATTTTTTTCAAGAACAGAGCGTTCAGCGCGAATCGTCTCCAGAGATCTTGTAAGATTATCCTTTTCCTGAGTTAGCTGATGTGTCAAGGATTTGCTCCGATCTAGATCAGAAGTCAGATCGCCAATCTTGATTTCAAACGCTTTGTTTGCTTCTTCAAAGGCATCCAACTGACGTTTTGTAATAACTGCTTGTTCTCGGCTATTTTCTAATTTTACCTAAAAATATAGATATCATATATATTTAAAAAATGTATATTTTGATTATGCATGTTTACACTATGGGACTTGAGTTTGAAAAGTCATAAGTAATAAACGTAAAAAAAAGTCCTGCAAAAACTCTATACAGGTATTATTCTTGGTACAGAGACTGGATTTTATTCTCAACTATGTTGAATAGGAAAAAGTATGGCCAACCCAATACTCCAACCACCTGATTTATCCCTCGACTGTTGTAAGGTAATACCTTTGAACTGAGTACATCCAGGAAAATTTAGTCAAACCAGGATTCCCATATTATTAGGTCTAATAAAATTCTGTCAAGAGAATTCTTTAGATATTCCCTTATATGGAGAGTTATTATCTCTTATTCAACTTATTCTCAGTGTTTTGAGAATAAATTAATTAATATTAATATTTTGAACTGATTGAAATAACTGTAATTACTAAAGTTCACAAAATAATTAGGACACTTTATAACATATAATGGAATACAACCATATTAATATACAGTTCTATTTTGTGCAGGAAATACTGGTTTATGTGAGTAAAATGGTAAGAGAAAGTTTCAAAAAGATTTCCAAGGAAAAATTCTTATAATAATATACGATTCCTCAGCAGTAGATCAACTCTACATTATGTGGAGAGGAGAGGAAAGACCTCATCAGCACTTTAGAACGACAAGTCTGATTTTGATGATATATTTTTATTAATTGTGATATTTTACAGATCAGATCAGTTTCCTAGTGATCAAGCATTTGTGTTATTAGGAGGAGGAAAGAGGAGGGGGGGAAGGGTCATCAGGACTTTAAGAGGTTTCATTCAATTTTCAAAAAACCTGATCAGTACTGTTCCTTAGAAGGAAATAATCTAACCTCCAGAACGAGTACGTAGATAATATACCATTACTTTATAATGATTTATCAGCAATTTATAAAGGTGCTGCTGATTTTGTTGGAACATAGAAATCATATTTTCCATATGCCTAACAATGATAATTAAGGGATATATCCAGCTGATTTTAATGGAACTTGATATATATGCTTATCAATAAAAAAACAACTTGGTGCTAAATTTTCTCTACTGTTATGTTTATTTATTATTTATAGTATTATATCACGTTATTTCAAATGAAACCAGTTTTTGTTTCGTAATTTGAGATAAAAACATAGCCATAGACAGAAAAGTAAAAACATTTAATAAAACAAATAAGGTAATCATTTTATAAATAAAGAGGCTTACATCAAATTACCTGCAATTCATGAATATGCAACTGGTATTTATGAAGAGAAGCTTGAACTGCCGAAATTGTGCTCTCAACAAATGCAGCAGATGTCGGTGGCCTTCCTCTCTTTGGCGATCTGTGAAAAATGGAGATAAACTTCATTGAAAACAATGTAATAGGGTAAAGGTACCAGTAATAGACACTTAAAGTGAAATTTTCAATCTTAATGTGAACCACAGCTTCAGTTCTGACTTGATATTTGCAAACGGATTTAATTGACAGCAAATTTAGTCTTTCCCCAAATTTTTTTCTTCTGTACATTCAATTAGCTAATTACTCATGAAAAACTTATAATATTCTTACAATGTGTAGCATAACAATACTAAAAAAATCAGGTTTTGGGGTCAATAGGTTTTTTATGTAATTAAAGAAAGAAAGAAATTCTGCACGTAATTAAAATAAGAAATGACAAACTACACAGATGAATAAATCAAATTTCAAACTTATGCATCTTATCAAGAAAAGTGATAAGGAATCTCCCTGAAACAAACCCCAAAATTGTTTCATTAAAAATTCAACTACCAATCTGCTATTGTGGCATATCACTTAAGGTTCAGGCATCACCCTTTAAGTGTTTTAACTGCAAACCTATTCATATTTGCAACATCTTTGGGTGTATAATGAGTTGAAAATGTTTATTTCTTGTGTGTCTTTTATTTACCTTAAGGCCAACTAGCCACAGAAAGCGCAGCGCGTTGAGCTGAATCAGCTTCCAAAACCAAACCAAAGGTTTTTAATGACAGGTCAGCCACTAGAAGCGGAGCTGAGCTCAGCGCAGTTGAGCGGCGTAGTAAGGCTCTGCTCTCAGCTCAGCTTTGGGTCAACCGTAATTCGGTTTTGGAAGCTGACTCCGCTACGCTCAGCTTCTTCCACCATACCTACTTACACTCATCACACAACCGTGGAGATTTGTTCCTCAGTGTAATCCTATTTTTCTGCTTGTTTTCACTGTACAATCTCTTAAATTATTTTATTTTGGTTCAGTGTAAAATATGCAATGGATGTGGAAGAATTCTTAATTGATTGTAAAATACATTTTTTAAAAAAGTCTCTAGGTGGATAGTATTAAATTAGGCAGAAAAAAAATTCAAGGCACTGAATCTGAATTGGAAAGATACAGACTTGGTACTAGTACACTCACTGACACTTTAAGTAGTAAAGAAAATTATATATTTAACTATCTTAAGTCAGGATAAGCATTAAAATTTGTAGTTAAACCTTGGAGGAATGGGTTGCTGAGGAGTTAAATGAACATGGGAATCTCTCGTTTCAGCATCTTGAAGAACAGCATGAGCTATGTCCCTTAAAGCTGTTTGTAAAAGTTCCAACTCAGTTTTCAGTTTCCCTACCTCACCAACACCTACCTCTGCACTATTACACCTTTCCTCCTACAAAACAAATACTGTACCAATAATAAAAAATATATTTAGCTGCATTTTATGAAAGATTATAAATAACGAAATACAGCACCATTGATCGCAATTCTTTCATCAACTTCTGTACTTTGTCTTCCTTAGATCTGAGCTGAAGAGCAGTAGCATCATTTTCTGCTTTGAGAAGAGCAAGTGCTTCCTTCAGCATATTAACCTCTCCAGCAGTATTAGATTTATGATTTTCCTAAAACAATAAATACATTTTCAATTAATTTATTTGATATAAAGCAGAGGTGCCCAGAAGGAGGTTTTAAGGCCCAAGTTGCGCCATCAAAATTTTCGAGGGGAAAATATTTCAAAGGGTCTTTGAAATTTGAGGAGGGCAAATTTCTAATGGGATATGAATTTTTGGAATGAAAAGTTTCAGAATAAGGGACAAGGAAAAAACATGGAACAGAACGTAGCAAGCTAATTCTACTTTCTCTTGCTCTGTTTTTAAGAAAATAAGCAGCAAATATTTTGGGAGGAGAGGGGGTAGGTAGGTTCTTGCACCATTGACCTTGGAGGAGATGGGTACCCCTGATACAAATAATTTATGACGTATCATGTTTTTTAAATCTATTTACCAACAATTTAATAATCAATTGATAGTGTTAGAAACATACTAAATAATTTAACTAACTATGATTATTACATCAGTAGAAATGGTTTTCATTAAGTGTGGGAATAGAACTTGTTTGGGGGAATAATTGTCTAACAGGCCAGAGAGGTGGTCTAGAATAGATTTGTTGATAGTTATAAGCGATATCAAAATTATCAGTACTACAACACACAGCTAAATCAAAATATCAGAATGGAATCCAAACCCTACGCAATAATTTTTATCAGTACTTTCCTGATGGGCATTGTTAAAAAATAACAATTTCTTAATTATATTATTATATCATCGTTCATCCCAATACCTCTAACGAAGCTGAAAAAGCTTGACGAGCATATACACCAGAAGCTGAATCAAGAATATCCCTTGATGCTGTGGATAGATCCGATTTCATCTTAATTAAATCTCTGCTGGTAGCACTCTGTAGCTCCGTAAAGTGACGCTTTAAATTTACAACATCTCTCCACAACGCCAGGAGTCGGGCATGTTCAGCAGAGTAGTAGTCATTAAAGCTCTAAAAATTAAGTAAAAATTAAAATTTGAAATTAAATGCCACAATTTTACTAAACACAACTGTGCCACTAAATCGTTTTAATATAATTTAATATCCTGTAAGTATCCTTTATAATTATTATTTATTTATTTTTTATGTACTTGTTCTTCTTCTTTCCATTCGTTTTCCTTGATGATCATTTCGTCTCTCATATCTGCCCAGTCACTACTCAGTTTTTGCAAATCGTTAGCTAACGCTTCATTGGTTTCATGAGCATCTTCAAGTTGTTCACGTAGAGCAGTGTTAACTTGAACTAGCTTCTCGTATCTAAAAGACAATAAGAAATTAATAAATCTTGAAATATAATATCATTTAAAAGTTAATGATTCAATCTAAGCCAATAAGAAATAAAACCTAGAGATAGGTTACTGTTACTGACAATGAGTTATGAATCATTATCAGATGGGCAATCTGCTCGTGAGCTGACTCTTTTCAGTGTAAGCAACTGAACAAAAAGCAGTAGCTATGAACTGAATTCCTGATTCAGTACTAAACTCAGGTAAAACCAACCAAATTTGACATCAGTGTACAGAATCGTTGACTTCAATCACGTATTATACAGTCCAAATCTTCATTTTCTGTTTGATTTTTGTGCTTGATGTTTGTTCAGTTTGATTAGATTCCCTTATTAGATGATTTTGACCCTTTCCATTTGAGTATATTTTAAGTTGATTCGCCAAAGAAATTTGAGAGAAATTAGCTTTAGCTCAGTGAATTTGATGGAAAATTCTCATATCAACTTTCACTCTCATTTCAAAAGTCTCCCTTCTAGTTCCGTAACCTCACACTATGACAAAAAAAAAAAAGCTAGCCTCAACTCAGAGGACAGCTCTGCTTTGGGTCACTAGAGCATATAGGACAATTTCGCATGAGCAGGTGCTAGCGGGGGTGGTGCCTACTTTGTCACTTTTGGACAATCTACAGGTGAAGATTATGGAAGCGCCTAATAGATGGAAGAAGATACTCCGGGAGAATACAATTGAAGTATGGAACGGGCGGAGGATAGCAACCCCTAAAGGAAGTACATTCCCGCAGTACAGTCGGGGCTTCAGGCAAAGTAGGTCCTCCCGGACTACTGGATTTCCCAGTCCCTTACGGGGCATGGAGGATTTCGAACTAAACTCCACGGTCTGGGCATTGATGTAGATCCCCTATGCCCAATCTGTAGTGTTCCGGAAACTGTAGAGCGCATGGTCACGACCTGCACCGCATTTGAAACGTTAAGAGTGACAATGACAAGAGCCGCGGGAATCTATGTCCTCACTGAAAATGAGTTTCCTCAGTTAGTCCCCCGCGGTTAAAGGATTTTCTATGTGGATGGAAGACAGTGATGGGGCCCGCTCACTTCCATATTGGTGCCCGCAGAAGAAGAGGACAAGCGCCAGGAAGACCTCCAGATTCTGGAAGCTAGACCGAAAGAAAAAGAAGAACAGAAGAACTGCACATTATGTTAACTAGTAGTAGTGTGTTATTAAGCATTCATGCCTAATAACACACTATCGCAAACACCCGTATTGCCATAGTGGCATGGGAGGGTGGAATAAATAAATAAATAAATAAAATTTCAAAAGTTATTGCAATCCAATTCCCAGAATCAGGTAAAAATTCAGATTCAATAGTATAATTAGAAATTAATGGTCTATGTCATAGTAATTTACTTTATATTTACTGCTTATTCATTAATTAAAAATGAATTTGTGGGCGGGGTGGCCGAACAGGCTAACGTACAGCACTGCAGTTATCCGGCAACCTGATATATAAGACAATTGATATAAAATAGTCATGAATTTGCGTCCCGGTGCTGGGGAAGTCTTTTAAATCTCCTCCCACACCCTCTGGCCCAGAAAAATCTGTATAGCCTTAAGGCAAGGAAGGGGAGGAATTCCACCACCAAAAAAAAAGTACTTATTTTTTTTAGAAAGTTTTGTTGGAAGACAAGGTAAAAAAAATGTAAACAAATTAAGATTGACTTAATTTAATCGACTTGTGATAAACGATCTAATGGTGAACGATGTCTTTAATAAGATTTAGTTCATTCAGAGAGAGTGTTAGGAATTCCGATGCAATCACTAAAGTTAAGGTAAAAATAACTTCTGAAGAGTGGTATTGAAACTGGCTTTCTCCAAAACCTTGAATTAAATGCTACTGTAAAGAGTTTAATAAACAGAACTAATTTTTTTGTGGAATTCTTGCATTTATCACATTGCAAACCACAGAAATTCATGTACCTTGGAATGCACTTCCTCAAAGAATTTGCTGATTCACAAATGGTATTTAACTGCCATAAATCAGCTTACTGGATTTACTCAGTAAGTCTCTACTTGCAACAATCCAATAATTTAAAAAATAACAACTTCAAATAGCTCACAGAAATACTTTAGGTTTACAGCAGAGATAAAGTTCAACGATTCAGGTTTTGAGTTAATTTATGATTGCAAAAAGTAATAGTACTAAATTTTATTGATATACAACTTATTATTTTAGTCTAAAAATGATACTTAAGAAATAACTAAAATACCTACTTTTTCCGTTCTTCGAGAAGTAGTCTGTGAGTAGTTTCAAGGTCCAGTACTCTCTCCTCTTTTATTTCTCTCAGTTGGGCTTGTGCAGCCTCCAGGGCAGAAGAGCCACTTGGTGCTCTTCTTTCTGGTTCCATCACTTCCTCCATTCGACCTTCCAACTCTTTGCATCTTTGTTTGTATTGCAACAACTGTATAAAAAAAAAAAAAATTGGAATTATAATTCCTATTAAATTATTAGATTTTCATTGGTAGTAATGAGGATTAACATATTAATTTTTAATAAAACAGCAGTATTCAGTTATATATTTTGATTTGTGAGAAAGCATCATCTATTAGTTAAAAAGATTAGCTTCCACAAAAGTTTTTGAAACCATTCTCTTAGACAAGAAATGAAAATAATTTATTTTATTAAAACAATCCATATATAGAATCTGTATTTATAAAAGATTTATTTGATATGAGTGGTGGAGCGGAAAGTTAACAATTAATTTTTTAATCTTGAATTGGGAAAGATGGGATAAATTAGGAAAGAGAGTCAGCCAGACAGTATTTTTAGGGCATCAAGTAGAGCAGGCTGGTTCAAGATAAATGATTATTATTTATAAATATCCACACAGAACTCCCACATCCCGATAACAGGCCCTGAAACTAGTCTAGGTTCCCTCCCGTGTGAGTGTGTAAATATGGTAGACATTTCAAACAATATACCTTATGGTATTTTATATTTCAATTTTTAACAACCTATAAAACTTTGATTACAAAAGTATTTTTTTGCTGGACCCCTGTACCATGGGTTTGGCAATCATCCATATTAGCATCAGGTACTTATTAACAATAACACTACTTCTTTCCATAGTTAAATGCTTACTATTGTTGTATTTATTTTTTGTCATAGTAATCAAGTTGCTCGATTGTTTAGGCCTGTATAGACCTTTACAAACTAGAAAGATTGCCACTCAAAATAGGGACAAAAAGTGTTTCTGTTATAGATAAATTAATACTGTAAATATAGCATTCAATACAAATAAATTACTATATCTATTCTGGAAACCTTCAAATTTTGTTATTATAATAGTTTACAGTATTTTATTACACTATTTTCTTATACATCATTTACTGGCCTTAGCTTGAAGCTTGCTGACAAGAGCAGCCTGATGTTGCTGGGCCTGCTTATATGTTTCTATTCTTCTCCTACAGCTAGCAGCTTCATCTTCAAGCATTCTTCTCAGCTCAGAGCTGTGTCGGGACTCTGAAGGCGGCGGGTCATCTCCCATGCCACTGCCTGCTGAGCTCCTACCACCTTCACCCCTCGATCTTTGAGGCTATTAAGGCAAAGCAAAGTTAATAATAGATTGCAGCATAAACATTGCAATACCAATTCAAATGTTTAGAACGTTAAAACATGTATATACATAAAAGTGAACTCCTTCTAAAAGAAAATCCAAAGTATCAGGTTTTGGATAAAACTAATGAAGGAATATATTTAAATTACCTAGTCCATTGAAAAGATAATTATTTTATTCAAATTAGATCCAAGAAATTGGAATCTTGCACGAGTATTAACAGAACAATAGATATATAAGATTATGGGTTTATACATTCACATATGTATTAGCCAATATTAATTAGAACTTATGTATAACATAAAAATACAAAATTTACTAGAACATAATAGCCATGCTGCATCCTTTATGGTATTTTATTTCAAAAATCTTAATTGTGCTAATTAGACAAGATTTGAAATAGAACAATATTCATCCTCCTTATGAGATATCAGCAGGAATTGAAAATTGGGGTAGTATAAATTTAAAACAAATACTCTCAACAAATATTAATATCTCACAGTCCAATAACAACATTTTAAGAATTTTATAATTTTTTTAATAATTATTAAACATTATCAGGACAACACAAAGTGTAAAATAAAAACACATGTCAATTAAAAAAACAGCATTTTAATAATGTGATTCTTCCTTACCATATACCAAAAAGCATACTGCATCTCAATTTAAAGACACAGTGGGTAAAAAAATGCTTAACAGTTAGCTTTATCATTGACACATCATAGGTTATGTTTCTATTTATCTGTTGCCAAGTAACCTCTTTGTTTTGACAAGAGACCATAAACAGTAATACTATCTAGTTGTGAATCACATAACTATTTTCTACAACCAAATTAATATGCTCAGTTTAAGTGAAACATATTTACATATTGATTTAAATTAGTTAAAAACACTAAATTGTTTTTATTTACTTCTCTATTTTTTGTAAAGGATGGTCTAAGAAAAGATAAAGGTCTCTTCCTTTCAAGTGTGTGTCCTTCTGATGTGGTTCCATCCTTTCTTGTAAACTAAAACAAACAAAATTCAAATTAAAAATGTTACTTTTGGCTTTTCTTTCATGGTTAAAATTTAAAATGCATTAAAAGCAATGACCAATCTTTAAAAAACTTAAGTTTTGAAGCTGTAAGGTTTTTCAATTGATTATTTCTACTGTTAATGGAAGGTTCAGATGGAAGTTGCAGATAAATGTGTTTGTTTGTTAAAAAGCCAGCTTGGTTAATATTATGTTGCAAAATCATAGTTCATTATTTAATTAATGACAAGTACTCAGAATAGGCCTAAAAATCACTATGAAAATGTATCCCTAACAAAATTTTAACAAAACTGTATCTGTTTTAATTGTTTGATTGGTTATTTAAGCTCTTCCTATATATATTACTGTATGATATTCAATGATAAAAATATAAATCTTGTTTTTATGATATTTAAATATAAGAATTCCTAAATAGTTAACATAATATGTGTTGCACAATGCGAATGAAAGTGTTTTATGTTTTACTGCAAATATTTTATAAAATATCAGGAATGAATTAATTGTAATTTTGGTGATTTCAACACACAAAAATAAAACTTTAAATTATTGAAGTAGTTGTATTATTAGTAATTGAATCATCCCCTCTCCAACAGGGTCCCATGGTGTAATGGTTAGCACTCTGGACTCTGAATCCAGCGATCCGAGTTCAAATCTCGGTGGGACCTACGGTCTTTTTTTTTTTTAAAATTCATGTGGATTCAAGCGATGATTTATTATATTAATTGATATAACAACAAGCTTAAATATAATCCTATGAATAAATTTTATATTAACGTTTCAGTCCGTTTGAATTTAAATGATAAAGATAAAAAAATAAAAAACCCTCCGACTACCATTGAAGTTTGTAGTTCAGTACCAAGGTCAGTAATACTACCTAAAGGTCAGTAAAACTAACTAGGTAGTTTTATTGACCTTGGTTCAGTACATGTATTTTTTAAAAGTAAAACTGCTAACAAATCCATTAGCAGTTTGTCGGTTAAATTTTGTAATATCGTGTAAAACAGAAATATTTTTGTGAAATTTTATACAACGGTTTCGAAACCCCAATGGGTCAAGCTTCTTATATTTCCTACATAATAATAATAATGATAATGATGATATTAAGATTATTATTATTTCTTAAGAACCCCCGTAGAACCGCCAGTGGATAATTCAATTATCTATTTCAATATGAAATCATAACCAGATGATTTTTTTTTTTATTTCTTAAGAAATAATAATAATCTTAATACCATCATTATCATTATTATTATTATTATGTAGGAAATATAAGAAGCTTGACCCATCGGGGTTTCGAAACCGTTGTATAAAATTTCACAAAAATATTTCTGTTTTACACGATATTACAAAATTTAACCGACAAACTGCTAATGGATTTGTTAGCAGTTTTATTTAAAAAAAATCATCTGGTTATGATTTTATTATTTCATATTGAAATAAATAATTGAATTACCCACTGACGGTTCTACGGGGGGAGGAGGCTTTCGGGCTGAAGCCCTCCCTCCCCCAAATGGTAAAATATAACCATGTGTTATGAAAAGAATTATCTCTAAAAGTATTATTGTTCATCTAATTTCATTTAATAGGACTTCAAGAATCACCTAAACACAATTTCATATGAGTAGATGATTCTTTCTTTCTTCCGAAGTAATTATCGTAATATATATACAAAAAAAAATCTTTTGGTCTGAAGCCCGCCCCCAAAATTAAATCCTGGATCCGTTAGTGGAATTATCAAACCATAGAAATTAAACGCATTGAGTTCACTATGCATATATATACACATAGTGTATATATATTTTGATTATTCTTAAACATATCCATTGTATGGAATGAACAGAAGTCTCGAAACTACGACCCTCGAAGAAAGCATAGTACGATTTTTAAAATTATTTACAAAATATGAATTTTAGTTAATCACTCAAATACAAGATGATTACAACTTTTATTACATGATTCTTCCCTCTTAGACAGTTCATTTGAAAACTGAAGTGTTATTTATACCATAAATAGTTTTTGCGAGGGGTATTTGCAGCAATAAAAACAACCGAGAAATTAATATAAAGTTTTAGTTCCTTCTTTTTATTGTAACCTGACGTCAGTTTTAGTAGATTAATTATAAAAATACACTTTTTATTCATTAAAAAAGTATGTTAACATTTACTAGAATTAGGATATTTTATTGCAGAAATAACCATAATCGAGGAAATGAAAATCCTAATGCCACATATACCGCATCAATACCATTTGAAAGTAATAACTCATTATTGTACATTAACATTTCTAAATATAAAATACTAAAAATAAAACCCTACAAATGCTAGAATTTTCTTTTGACCTAAACGTGAATATTAGGATTAAAAACATTTAGTTAGTAACTTTATACCATAGACAAATTCCCAAAATAAACATATGTGTTATAAACAATGGTTCATTATCATCTTAGATAATAAATTGTTGAAAAAAAAGTATTTTTTTAATGAATAATTAATTTACTAAAATAGGTCTTAGGTCAGAAGAAAAAGAAGGAATCCTTACTTCATATTAATTTCTCGGTTGTTATTTTTGCTAAAAATACAGCTATTCTGGAGTGACAAAGTATCAAATCACATAATTTTTCACACAAATAGAGATGAATTTCATCTTTATTCTAAAACAAATCTCTAATAAATTGATATGCAATTAAAGCTTATAAAACGAATAAGTTTTTATAAAAGTGGAGCATCTGAGCATCTGAAAAAAACACCGCGAATAATCTATGATTTAATGATAAAAACAATTTAGCGTAGTTTGGTTGCTCAAAACTTCCCTTTAAATGATTTTGACTAAGACAAACTCTACACTGACAGGTAAAAAAATCCACCCACTTGATTTTTTCATGTTTTCATCTAAAAATACTTCTGCTTTGGATTGGTCTATTGTTTTTAATGAATAAATAGGTAATCTTTTTTTTGTTTTCAATTAGGAATATTAATATAGAGGACAATAACACTTAATCCTCAATTCAATGAAATGATTCTAGATTCCAATGTTTACTTTCTATGAAATCAAAATGTTTATTCAGTCAGAACAGCCATTGGACTATGGACGAATGGAGTGCTGTACTTTTTACAGATGAGTCAAGATTCGCTCTTCGATCTCCAGACGGGCGTGAAAGGGTGTGGAGAAGAAGAAACGAAAGATATGCAGCCTGTAATTTTTCTCAGAGCCAACCTTTCCAACGTGGTTTCTTAATGGTGTTCTCGAGCAAAAGCCAGCCGTGTTACTCTGTGAGTTCTGGTCAACTCTGGTCCTCTTTCTGGACAAAAAGCCATTAATCCATACTCATTTAATCTTCTCCGAGCGGTACGTTCAGAAATTTGCACACCTCGAACTTCTTCGAGCTGGTGAATCGCTTGAACAACGGTAAGGTGCCGGTTTCGTAAAATTCTCAAAGTCAAAAACCGGTCATCCCGTGGTTCTGTTACCCTAGACCGTCCAGAACCGGGCCTTCAATTGTAAGAACCATTTTCCCGAAAACGCCTGACGGCGTCTCGTAAAGTTTCATATGGAACTCCGATGGCATTAGCTGCATATCTAATGGAACGTCCATCATCAATAAGTGCCACACCACGCGCAACATCCTCAGCACTAAGCGGCATTTTTAAACTTAATATTGAAAAAATTAAAAGCCGGAGCCTAAGAAATGAGCTGCAAGAAACAGCACTGAACTAATGATACTGAATAAACATTTTGATTCCATAGAAAGTAAACATTGGAATCTAGAATCATTTCATTGAATTAAGGATTAAGGGTTACTGTCCTCTATATTAACATTCCTAATTGAAAACAAACAAAAAGATTACCTATTTATTCATTAAAAACAATAGACCAATCCAAAGCAGAAATATTTTTAGAGGAAAACATGAAAAAATCAAGTGGGTGGAATTTTTTGCCTGTCAGTGTATATATAAACTAGCGGTTTCAGGATTTGATTTTGGGGAGGGGGCTTCAGCCCGAAAGCTTTTTTTTCATAAAAATAACGATAGTTACTTTGGAAAAAATCTGGTGCGCGCACCACACAACTTTCACTTACCGCTCTACTTTGAGTAGAAATTATTTTCTGGCAACGCTGTGCTATTATAAAATTTGTTGAAGTTCATTTTAAACGGAGCTAAAGCTTAAAGCTTACAGATAACAAGTCATTAAGACTATTAAAATTGTAAAAAGTCTATTTACTATATCGACGGTAGGCAATAAAAATGTGCTGCCTCCTAATGTATCTGCTTTTATAAACCACACGACTTCCTTTGCTTTTAGAAACCATAGAATGACTAACTCCAATTTCAACATTTTTGAGTAATGTCAATTTAATAATATTTTTAGTTGAAAAAGTTATCTATGAAGACAGTGAATAAGTTGATTCCGGAGGTGGTGATTGCAGTGTTGAAATATAGAACTAAGAATAAAGGTATAAATTTAGGTACTTATTTCTTATGAAAGATGTTCTTAGGAAAGGTACATTATTAAATATCTGTAGAAAAAAGTTTT